CCTCAATTGACAGAACTGTTGAGCGTATGGAGCAACACGTGTGGATACCTCGAAAGCGTAAGGCGATCATGGCATTGTGCGAAGCACGGTGGCAAGAGCCTTGTGTCAGCGGAAGATCGGAGCGCCTAGCCTTGAAGAACATGTGTTACACCACTCAAGGCTCAAACATTTGGTGATTCACAGAATTCTCAGCTGAAATGAAGTCTTAAAATTGTAAACGCTGTGCGTTGCCCGCCTCGGCCCAGCCAAGCGTGCAGCGTCTGTGGTTCGACTGCAAGCAGCAGAGCTGGTCAAGTGGCGATTCAGCAGTCGTCATTCTCAGCACATTTGTGACAAAACTGGGCCCACGAAGCTGGATGCCGACGAACCCCGAAAATTTCAAGGCCCGTTGGACAGGATCTTGGGTCGGCAGACATGGGTGAGGGGGGTGGGGGGGAGGGGTGGGTGGGTATTTTTTTGGGAAAAGAGATGCGAGCGCCCTTGGGCCCCTTGAAGCCGAGGCGACTAAAAGGACACACCTGTCATAGGGTCAAACAGCTTCTAGGCGTGCTAGTCATCTTGTAGGGCTAGCCTGCGCTTCAGCTCACATCCGTTCGTTTGTTCCTGGATTAGCTCAGCCGAGTCGCTACTTCTGAGCGCAGCGAACTTGGAACTCGTCGGGATTCCGCCGAGTCGCGGTGTCTAGACTGGGGATTCTTTCAAAGAAAATAGATCTCCACCGAGGTCCAGGGCTCGTTGTGGTGTAATGTGGACAACATGAAGTTTCAAAGCTCTCATGACGACATGGCAATACGCATTGTTCCGCTACATCATGAGCCGCAGCTTTTGAGTTTTCATGCTGAGGCGCAGGCTATTTGATCTGCCCCAGCCTGCTTCAACTTCCCCCTCTTTCTTCAGAGTGGAGTTTTGTGCTCACAGTACCTCTTTCTGGGCTTTACTCAGCCATAGCAGGCGTTTCAACTGCAGGTAGTCGCAAGCGAAATTTGTTGGACAGGTTGTGAATCCCGAACGGCTTCCTCCGTGCAGTCGCCAGCAGTTTGCGCACGGAGGCGAGATGCTGGTTGTGCCCGAACGGCCCTTCAGAGAAAGCGGGTCAAGGACCTAATTTGGAGATCTGTAGACAACATAACATATGATGAAAGCAACACATGCAATCTCTCTCACACGCCCAAGCTCCGGGCCTGTAAGCGATTGGTCTGCCTGACATGATCCGCTTCAAAGGCACTCCCAGGGCGCGTTGAAGGCACATGCACGCATACACATCAGCATTTGCTGTGTAGTGTGCAACATGTATCTCACACACATGTTCATTCATATCCAGACATGCTACGCATTTACCTATTGGTTTTTTACTTGCCTACCTATGTACCTATCTATCTACCTATCTACCTATCTACCTATCTACCTATCTACCTGTCTACCTATCTACCCATCTAATTATCTACCTGTTTACCTATCTACCTATCTACCTCTCTACCTCTCTACCTATCTACCATCGACCCATCCATCCATCCGTCCGTCCGTCCGTCCGTCCAACCGTCCGTCCATCCACTCATCCACTCATCCACTCACCCACTCGGCCCTATCTAATATATTTAACCTATCTAATCTATCTAATCTGTCTATCCATCTATCCATCTATCCATCGATCTATTAATATGTTATCTGATCTTATATTAGCTTATCATATCTTATGCTTGCCCTATCCTATTCTATACTATCCTATCCTATCCTATCCTATCCTATCCTATCCTATCCTATCCTATCCTATCCTATGCTATCCTATCCTATCTATTGATCTATCTGCATATCCACACGTATGTTTGTAAATGCACCTATGTATATGTATATGCGTATAGATAAATGGATGGATGGATGGATAGATAGATAGATTCGCATTCATGTGCATGATATCTCCTTGCCATTCTGCATGGTCAGACTCGGTTTCTCTGTGCTCCGTAAGCTCCAGCAGCGCAGAGCTCGCGGAGGTGTCGCCGGCAGAAAAGGAACACCGAGGTGTTGCCGTGTGCTGGTCTGCGTGAGGTTTAGTCAAAATTTCCGGATGGTCCATGCTGGAGGGACATCGGGGACTCACTAAGTTTTCTTCGGAAACCAGGGTTATCACTAAACTTTCCATGCCCTCTTGAAAAAGCAAGTTGTTTTGACCGTGGCACGGTTCAGCTGTGCTTTGATTGCAGCAAACAAGAATGCAAGGAAGAAAACTAACTGGTTGAAGCTACTAGTGGGAGGCACAATCCGCGTGCCAAAGTCTCAAATCGCGTGTGCGCCGTTGCTGGATGAAAGATATACACCATGAATTCTCTAAGGAACTTTGTAGTCAGTGTTGGCTTTACCCCCGAATGAGATGGGGATTTCTCTTGGTTCTCGGCTTGGTGCCTTATGTTCTTGGCTGTGCCTTTTGCAACCTAGGGCCAAGAAGCCTGCCACATCTCGGGTTGAGTTGTAAAGCAACCGACATTCGAAGCTTGCCACGAGAGAGGTACCACTCTCCATCCACTCTCCAGTACCAGAGCTGGAGTATTTCGTGAAGGCGCGGTACGACCAGACGCCAAAACAAAGGGGTAGAAGGCTGAAGTTAGAGGGTCATGTTCATACAATTCCCCTTTGAGTCATTGCGAACCCATTGACTACCAGCCTTCTTGGCTTCATGTGATGTCAACCTTGAGCACTGCATCCAGCTATTTTGGAAAAAAAAAGGTGTGTTTCTTGCTTTGTAGGATTCACTCATGTTGAGCGCAACTGCGGTTTCTCGCTTTGCACCATTTCTGAGAAGAGGAGCCAGAGAAGCGTGTGCGATGCCAGTCATTGTCGATGGTTGTCCAAGGGTAGCTGCACACAAATGGTCAACACCACTGGAACATGAGACCACGCTTTCCTCGAGGACTCTTTTTTGGAGATGAGAGCCAGCCAGTTTTGGAGATCGGTTGGTCTGTTTCCGTTCAATCCCCGGCCCCACGCGGCACCAGGACAGCGAGAGCTGTTTGTGCCTCGCAGATTCTGCCGGCGCGTCCAAGATGAGGCGCGCGGCGCAAGGGATCCCTTTGCTTCAGCGGCAGTAGGACACGCACCCTAGCTCACGTTGGTTTTTTTTGAAGTTCCTCTCCAACCTCTCATTTGAGAGATTCTATAAAGGCTCAAGGATGGTGGCTATTGACAATGAACCTTGATGCTTGACACATCCCTGCCTATCCCTGGAGCAAACCGTCTTTACGCTGGATGTTTTTGGTTGTTCCTGCTATATTCATGGAAATTCAGGCGCGCGATGAGCCAACACATGTGATAGCGAATCCAAGTGAAACGGACATTGAATGGTTGAAGGACACAAGTAATGGTCGACCTGTTTGCACGAATGCCGCACCGCACGGTGTGCAGAAGATTCGAGATTGCACCTGGGCTTTTTTGGAACGTTCATGCGTCCATTTGTTGCCTGTGAACATACGTGCAGCACTTGTCTTTGGACATGTGAGCTTGAAACAATGGGTACCATGGTAGTTGGCCGAATGAAGCGACTATTCAGTAGCATGTTCACATCGCACTGTTTCATATTCCCAGAGCGCCTCAACACTTGCCTGCAGCTTGACCAAGCACTAGGTGCCCTTGACGAAACAAAGCAGGCAGACTGGATGGCCATAATGGGAATGTCTCAATATAGGCGTTGGAGGGTTTCCTTAAACCGCCCCAAAAGGATACTCTCAATCACAGGCGCCCATATACCCATATGTTGGCAGCAACCACAGCGTGAACAAGTGTTCCGAAGCATACGTGGAGGAGACTGTGGGCGTGATGCTTGCGGCAAGTTGAGCCTTTCGGACAACTTGCAGCTGTGCTTTGTGTCAACATTGCATACTTTGTTAATAGAAAAGACAACTCGAGTTTCCATAAAGTTAGTCTGCCTTGCAACATTGTATTGTACGCTTTGATGTTGACATGGGTTGAGCATACTGGCTATTATTGGTCATACAATTTTTGAGATGCCAGGCTATTGAGATGTTTGAGCTTGGAACATGCTAGCTTGTCGGCGGTTTCATCGCGAAACGCACACATGCTTGCAGACCACGAGAAATCCCGAAGTGGCTGTGGGTCAAAACCAATCGTACCATTTTGGGGTATGTGCACCACCCATTTTAGTCTATTTTAGTGGGGATTGGGATGTTCACTGGGGGTACGGGTTTTTGACCCATGGCCAAGTGAGCTTGTCAACACATGGAAGATGTTACGTGGAAGGAAGAGGCAGATTTGAGGCCCTTTGCCCCAAAGCATCCCAAGCCATTGCACGGAGGACGGTGGCGGAGAAGCTGGACAGGTTCTTTGCAGAGATCAAGGCACGCCGCCAACGCATCTTGAGTCCTATGTTTCGGATGCTTCGCTTGGAACATGTGTTCCTCCACCCCTCAGCACAGCCCAACATTTGGAAAGCATCTAGTGAACTAGTGCATTCAGTTTGCTTTGCGATCCGGCGGTCAAGCAGGAACAAGAGCAATTTCATGCTGCAGGCACACAGTGAGGGCTAAATCCGTGCACTGGAATGGTGCCTTGCCACCGGCGATGGAGCTTGGTCTTCCCAGGGATGACCAAACCAAAAATCAAGTCGAGACGAGGAGGTAGCCTATCTTAGTCTCCCGTGATTCCCTTAGTTTATGGCTGCAAACATGCTAGTTCGTGCATTGTACTTGCAAATAATCGGACTGCTGGGTTATATCGCAAGGGCTTGGGGTTTCAGGAACGAACAGCCCGAACAGCAAGCTGCTTCTTAAGGGGCAGAGGTGTAGTTATCATTGCACGGGCATCGCGAATACACTCGACGTAAGCTCGGGGAACTCGCTGGTGCCTTTTCCGAGCCTGAGATTTGTTGAGCAGCGCGCTCCAATGCAACACATCCTGCTGAAACGCTGCGCGGCCTGGTTCGCATGCGTTCACTTGTGTTGCGGATTTGTTGCAGCAAAGTGACTGCGTTATCTTTGATCCAGTTTTGGCACATATTTGGGCAATGCAACTTGCCTCCTTACATGACAACCAACTACCTCCAAACATGACAGGAAGCAGCAAAGACTAACTGACAGGTCCTATGTTGCCCTTTCCAGGGCCATTGTCCCTTGTGTTTCAACCATGCAGCGGCTTCCTGCGGTGAAACAAGCTGTGCAACGCTTACATGACATGGACAGAAGCTGCAACCGACGCGCACAAGCGACGTACATAGTCAGGACTCTGCCATGTTGCCAATAGTGCCAGGGCTGAGCCGGTTCAGCTGTTCAGTTGCAACATGTTTGATGTGAATGTGTGGAATGGTGTTGGGAGAATCAAGATATGCCGGATGGTGTATTGTGGCCAGTTAGGTGTTTTGACGTCTCTCTCACTCTCTCTCTCTCTCTCTCTCTCTGTGTTTGGGTGTGTGTTTGGTTCTGTCTCTGCACGTTTTCGGCGTGTCTCCGCGTCTTCGTTTTGTGAGTGTGTGTGTGTGTGTGCGCGTGTGTGGTGTTTGCGTGAGAGAGACAGTTCAGGGCCTCCTAAATACGCCTTCCGCTGTGCTTGTGCGCTGCTGGGCTCTGCGGTTGACTGCACATGCCAGGCAAACGAAAGCCCTGTGTCCTTCTGCCTGTTCGCAGAAGGCTGGATGCAGCAGTCAGGATGTCAGGGGCAAACAGAAACTCAAGCACGGGCTAAAGGAGTGTCTACATAAGATAGGGGACCGCCTCCCGATGGTGGGTTTATTCCCCCTTTCCATGTTCGGAACTCAAAGCGTCCAAAGGGATCGCCTGTTTTTTTTCTGAAAGAACCGCCCAACTTGGTGCCTGTCGAGAACCACAGGGGGTGAGGCTTGGCGCAGAGGCAAGAGCCAAAAGCGCAGGCCTTTACAAGAACTAGCCCAAGTGACGGACGGAGGCCACTCTCCAGGCACAAAAAGCACTTTGCGGATATTGAAATATAGAGAGAATTCTATTGGACTACTGGCCGATCGCTGGGGCACTTTGCAGGCACGCCAAATTGAGTACATTGAGGGGTATTTGCGGTTTTGCAAGGTGTTGTGAAGTGGTGAAGCAGGGGGCAACGCCAGAGCACACCCGCACTGCAAGCAAACGTCGAGAACGGATAGGCAAGCATGTAACCATCTCATGCCAGCCAGGCACCACATGTGCAGCCCACATGCCTCCGGTGAGCCCCAGCTTGTCGTATTGCCAGTCCGTTTCTGGTGAAAGGTGTCTCTCATCTTCAAAGCTGCGGTATGACCCGCCTCATCCCTGCGGCTCGCAGCGCTTTTCGCCCCCGCGCCTTGGCAGGTGCGAATGACGTGAAGGCGCCAAAGGCGCGTGAGAGAAGCGCGTTTGAACAACTGATGTTTGGGACCAACCAGGTTGTAGGTATGAGCCTTAACGCAGAGCCTGTGGTGTGGCCGTGGATCACACATTGACAACAAATTGCTCCCGGCGCGTGTGAAGTTCAATGTGAGCATGGAGAAGTGGAACAGAAAAGCGATGCGCAACAGCACGTGAGCGCTCTCCATTGCGGCCTGCGAGCTTGAGTGCGGTAAATCTGCGCTCTCACTCTCTCTGTCCTCCATTGGCATACCTTGAGGCGCTGGTAGTGTTTCGAGCTGCCATACCACAGGAGCCATGACTTGGACTGAGCATCTGGCTCACATGCCTTCATACAAATCACAGACCCAAATCGTTGCTAACATGTCCGTCGATGCCTAAGCTTACCAGCCAGAGCGGGCCAGGCGGAGCTTTCTTGCTTCAGCTGCTGCTGCGGCCTCTTTGCCAAACCTGCCCAGGAGCTCAGAGTTAGGCGCTAGAAGGGTATGTGTCAAGGGGATCCCTTTCAATGGCGGTTTTTGTTTCGGTTCCCTCCAGGGTGAAAGGGGGAAAAGGGGCTGACACATGACCCTGACCGAACCCGCAAGCGATCCAAGCAGGAAAAGCCCACATGCATGAAAGTTAGCATGCAAGGAATAGACCTTTGCTTTAGTTTACGTGGCCTTCAACCCTTTGATCTCTGGGTGCATTGGACCGCAAGGCGGTTGACTCCAATGCACTGATCCTCTACACCTCGGGCACCACCGGCCAGCCGAAAGGCCGGAAGGGGCTTTCACGCGAAACACGGTCTCCGAGGGCACTCAAAGTTTGTTCATCCTTGGGCATGGAGGACGCATGCCGACAGTTCCATGTTCTTAGGCTTGCGGCACATGCTGATCTGAGTTCATGGGACTAAATTGTACAGCACATGCCAAGGAGGCCATAGGAAGTAGCAGCCGCATGCTGCTACGCGTGTGTGATGTGTCTTTTGCATTGCCATTAACAGGAGGTCTGTGCCAGGAGTTATTTGCACTTCGTTGCGCACCTCAAGATTTGTAAGTCTGGCCAGAGAGGTCTGATATAACCTCTCCTGTACCTCCACAAGGTTGCAGAAGCACCTAAAGGGTCCTGTGAGGTTTGCACGAGAGGATCTTGTATGTACATGTTTTTTGTCATCCGGGCAGGTGTTGTCCACACTTTCAGGAGCCGACATCTCAGTTTCCGCTTTCGATTCGTGCGAGGGATAGGAACAGCTTTATCACCAACTCAAGCTGCTGGGCCAGACGATTTGGACTTTGTCAGGTTGTTCAAGCATTCTGGTGTTCCCTTTCGAAGCACCCTCTGAAGCCATGCCTCTGGCTTGTTGCCGCTTTAGGCCTCACTTCGCAGATGGTGTCTCTCAGTCAGGCTTGGAAGCTGGCGCCTTGGTTTCTTGCATCTGCCGTGTGACAGGGAGAGACTCACACGGAAGCGGAGCCCGGGCTTTGCTCTCCGGTCGTTGTATTGAATGGCAGTTCGAATGCAAGTTGGAGAGGTCGCTGCCATGCAGTGAGTTGCATCCCGCCGCGTTGCAGCCTCATACCCAGGTGGTCGTCCAGCGACAGGACTGGGAACTGTTTCCATTGCTTCTGGGCTTTTGTCTCCTCACCCCGCCCTAAAAACGCTGTTTCAACGGACGATGCCGGCACTTTGTGATAACAATCCATCAGCATTGTCTGGTTCATATCATTAGGGTGGCGAAGTACAGTAGTTCGGCTGGCATGACATAGTTTCGCATTTCTCAGACCTTCCATCGCAGCAAGGTCTGCCTCCGGCCCGAAACTTCGATCCAAGACAGCACGCAAAAAGCGTTCAACCCCCCAATCTCAGGCTGCGACCTGAGAGGGGGTGACCTTCCAAGATCAGAGCAGGTGTGTTGGCTCCAGGAAGCAGCGAGGTGGGAGGGTGTTGGCCGTTGAAACCCTGGCAACCCTCGACCCTCCCTTGAGATGTTCCACATGCTAGCTTCAAAGGAAAGCCAGCAGTCACGGAGCCTCAAAAAAGCTGATACATCCTCGAACCGCCCCTGGGCGGCTCGCGTTCCATGTTCATTTCCAGTCGGGAGCTGGTTGCTTCTGGCCAGGACTCTTCATGTTTTGCCGCTGCACCACATCCACGGCGCGCAAGCCTCAGCTGTCCTCGTGGGGCGCGCCCCTTGTTCCCCCCCTCCCGGCTTTAGGACTCCGTGGTTGGTTTTGGTTTCCCTTCCAAAACCACACCAAAAGGGGCCGCGCAATTTCGAGAAAAACACAAACAAAAAGTGTCAAACTATGGGCATACGGCCGCCCCTTAAACAATGGAAGCACTCATAATATGTGTTTCGTCTGTTTCCCTTTGCAGCCAAAACCACAAACCTGATACCTTTTGCCAACCCTAAACAAAACAAACCTGCACAGGGGGGACTCGGTTTTCTGTTTGATTTCCTTTCCAACCAAGACCACCTGTTGCCAATCCCTCCCTCAAACAAAAAAACACAAATGTTCCTTCCGGACAGCCAATGCCGCGTTTCTTCTCGCCTATCTTCTGCCAATCCTGGGTTGCAATCACCACTTCAAGTCCTCCTAGTGGCAACGTCAATGCCAATGCTATTCGCTTAGTTGATTTTGTCTGGAAACATCAAGAAGGAGAATCCAAAGGTGCCTCCCCCAATCAAAAACAAGAGGTTTCCCTTCCAGCCAACCAAAACCACGTGTCTGTTCGCCAGCCCAAACCCACGGAAGGTGCAGAACATCCTGAACACTGCGCTGTACAACGGCGCCGCCGTGGAGTTCTGCGGCTTCGATTCCGCCTTCTGTCTGAAGCGGGAGCCCCAGAGAAAAAAAAGCTGCGGTGCTTTAAAGCGGTTGGGGTCTCCTTCGGTATAGGGCGTGGCTTCTTTTGCGGAGTTGCTGTTTGTTTTTGGCTTTTAAACAGAAACAGGGAACCCCGAGGCCTTTTTGGGGGTCGGATTCCTACAACAAGACACCCACAAGCCCGAAAAGGCAGGGGATCCTCCACAGATTGACCCGAACCCTCCGAAAGCCGGAGCATGTTTCCTCTTTTTTTTTGCATGTTAAGATTTGTGGGGAATAGAAGGCCGCGCTCCCGCTGACAAATTCGCCCATCTGGCGCCAGAAACCAAGCCCTCCGCAAGCTCTACATGCCAAACAGGACTGCAAAGGGAAGTTATCTTGTTTTTTGGTATAGGGTGCCACCCCCGAAATGAATTCCTTCTGTTGATGTCCCTTTAAAATCATCCCAAGAAACTCAACGAGACTTTGTTGTTGACCATGATGTTTGGAGCCTTTGGGGGTACCATGCCACGACTCAAAATGGAATGGCCCGGCCCAGCTGATTGATGTGTCCACTTGGAGGCGAGATTGGGGGAAAAATGGAGTCCCCGCTTTTTCGACTGTTACAGGCCGCGCGCATCGAATGGTGCACTGGCCACGCAAGTCATGCCATGTTAGATCGCTGACCTCATTGGTTGACAATGAGAATTTAGTGGAGTGGCAAGGAGCACTTATCTTGGTGTATTCCGGCCGCAGACAAATTAGATTTCCTGTAGGAACCCCCCGCGTCAACGAAGCAAACCTGGTCCAAAAGAGCAAGCTGGCCCCGCTTGGTGAGTCTCAAGCCTCAAAGTTGTGAATGAGCAGTGAAAACTGTTTGACAAATCAGGACTTGACACTGTGGGCATGAGCTGCGAAGACGAAGACTTTGCCATTCAAAAGTCGCCAAACCCAAGACATGGCCGTGGGTCAAGATTAAACCACCAGCGGACCGCAGGTTTTGGTCCATGTTTCCACTTGCCAGGGTTCCATTTTGGGTACCAATTTTCGACCCACAGCCACATGGAGCTCATGAGGCGTCTCACTTCCGGCCTCATCACTTGCTTCCACGCAGTGCCCACGGTCTACGCGCGCCTCGCGTCGCTTAGCGCTGGGCGAGCGCGCAGCGGCCTAAAAGCCGGGGCTGCGGCCCTTGGGGGCGTCAACGAAATTGGAAAACCCCCCCCCCCCCCTCGGTCTCGATGGAAAACACCCATAGCTCTAAACTAAATGGTTTCGCATGTCCGTGATTTGGCGACACGCAACCTATAGAGGACCCTCTACCTCATGTATGGCCTTTCATACATTAAGGAGCTATCAAGCAACATTGGATCGAGTTTCCGACTTTATTACGGGCCGCCAGCCAGTTGCATTCTTCAATTTTGGGCGTGGCCAGTTTTTATCCATGGCATGGACCAGTTACCAGGCTTGATCGTGGAGCGGGCCCTCTATGACTTGAACGCAAGCACTTTAGCCGGTTTTGGTGGAGACCCCCGTAACATGCGAAAACGACCTGCATGCAGGTCCCACCCTGAAATTCGACGGTAAGGGTCACGCAGAAGGCAGAAATGCCGGAAAAACTGACGTTCAACTTGGGACTTTGGTTTCTGGACTTGGACACCACACCTTGTTTGTTCCTAATGCTAGGGAATTTGGTGGTAATTTGATACCGGCCCTGAAGTGACCGCGCGAGAGCAATTGGTTGGTGGGATCATCGCCACATTTCCTACTAAGAACAAGCAAGCCCGCATGTGTGCGTTGTCATTTGTGCCACTCAGATTTGTCACGCAGCAGCCTTGCCAGGTGAAGTTTACCCAGTACTTGGACTCACTGCCTCCAGATGAGAAGGCAGCATTGTGCCGGCGGCTTAATCGTGATTTAATCCAGGTACCCTTCCTCCACCTAACATGGCACCTGTAAAAAGGTACCTGGAAGGTTCATTTCCTTTTGAAGGGAGCCCCGGTCACTTGCCATGTTGGAGGGAGGGTACCTGTTGGTACGTCAAAAACTCCACGGCTGCTTCCTTCGATGCGACTCCCAGACGATGGGATCGACCAGCTCGCTCGCCGCTGAGGCCTCGGCTTGCGCAAGCCGAACCTGAGGCGGGCACAATCCCTCCCCGAAGAAGATCGCTTCTAACCTTCTTTGGTGCATTTTGCCAAGGGATGTTAGGACTTGAACTTTTTGCCAACTAATGGGTTTTCCATCAAACCAGTTAAAGTTTAACTTTTACCAGGGGGGCAGAAAGCAACCGAGCCTTGGTTGGTAATGAAAGCCCCAAACCTCGCCGGATTTGCGAGTCGAGCAGAACAGGTTTCTTTTGTCCTCGCGGGCGGAGATCAAAGCTTTGGGCCTTTGGGCGAAACCCATTGTGCAAGATCAGCACAGGCGGTTTGCTAAAGCCCCTTGCATTGCTTGACTAACCTGTGTGATGTGCCGAGCACCGGCCGGCTTTTCAACCGTAAATGCACGCGGCTGCCGTTAACTTTGCAGCAGTATCCGGTTGCTTTCTAGTTGGGTGTTGTGTTGCGTGTCGAGTCCAGTGGTCTTACTTTTAGGTGTCAATCAAATCCTTGGATTACAGAGTGATGGTCAATCATGGGAGATCCCACTTCAGACGAAAGCGGTTGGTTGGCACGGCACCAAAGCGGCTATCCGAATCAACTGCATGGCAAACCAAACGCATCGTCAGGTACATGGTCTCGGGGTCTGCGGCGCTTCCGGTGGCTCCTGCTTTTTATTCCTTCGGACGGCCGGGTGAATGGATTGTTTTCATCGTGTTTTGGCCCTCGAATTTCAGCAGGCCACTTCTATGTTGACTCCATACTGCATGGTGAAACATGGCTTGGTTTTGATCAGTACATCTTATTTTGGGCGGTTTTTGGCTGTGGCAGGATGAAGCGTCCTGCTTTTTGAGTCAAGCGCCCAAGGTCAGAAGCAATCTCAGTTTCAAGTTTCGTTTACAAGGAGTCCTTCTGTTTGATTAATCTGCTGTTTGTGTGGTTTCCCACGTGGAACAGGACAGTTAGAACTTCATTTTCAGAACAGTGCCTCAGCTCAATCTTTTGGCAATGACCAAATTGTAGGTGGCCCCCCCAACAAAGATGGCATCCTCTGCCGTGCCTCGCTCGTCCTCAGCACAACTCTAATCTTCTTCTATTGCACGGAATGACCCAAAACGGGATGCTTTTGGCTGGAGCCGACCATTCACCTGGTGCCATCCCAGGACTGAAGCAGATGTGTTCAACATGACTTGGGGACCTCGTCATATGCTCCCAAAGAGATCCACAGATGGACACGTCGTTGCCTCTCCTCGCCGGAAGCTTTAAGCCTTTGGAAACCCACTGAAAGTTCTCAGCAGGTCGTTGATCTTCTGCCCGGCAGTTTGTTTTCGCCAAACTTCTCAAGTTGCCCCTAGCGATCGCTTCGACTCTGCCGAAGTTGGGGCGGCTTCCCAGGAAGATGCCCCGAGACCAAGGATGGTAGGGTCCACCAAAAACGAATATGGTAGGGGTTGGTAGCATCCCCAGTTCACCGGCAGAAACCAATAGAAAAAACCGAAGCAAATAGTAAAATCCAGCAAACATCAGTAAAAAAGCCAGTAAAACAATCCCAACAAACCACAGAACCACTGTACTCGCGTTTTTGCCCAAATTCCAACAGATCTCTTAGGGCTTTCACCAGGTGCCCACCATGAAGAGCTGGGCGGAGATCTCCGGGCATGTGCTCTTGGAGCGGTGCCTTGGATGAAATGAAGTGAACCGACAGGCTGAAGGGAGGAAGTTATTTTTTTTGTTTAATCCAAGGAAACCCTCGGAGAACTGAAGGGAAGAATGTTTTGTTTTTAAGCAATGGGCTTTCAAAACCGGAAAGAACGAAAGAAAAACAAACCCAAAAACAACAACAAAACAAAACAGACAATTGGGTTTCATTAAACCAAAAAAAGAACCTATGCCTAAGGTTCTCAATTCACGCAATTTCCGGGAAGCATTTTACCTGCTACTTCTTTTCGGTGCTTCGAAGTTGCATCTGGATTCTGAGAACGGCTCCAGTCGTCACTGGCCTTGTGGGCTCAGGTCAAAATACTTAGCCGGATCTAGAGACTGCAGTGGCCCAGTTTCCTTCAAAACGAGGGCAGGCGCCACGGCCTTCGAATTTGTCACAGAGTCTTTGGCCACCATTTTTTAGCAGATCACACATGTGTGCAACATGTACATACCACTTATATATTATACATATACATGGCTCTGGTTCAGACACTTGGTTTATGTGGACATCTTGAAGGCGGACACTTGCCGAATATCTGGGCCTACAAAGAACATCCGTAATAGCAAAGGTGATTGCCGAGGTGCTTATTTGGTTTGACGTTCCTGCCCAAACCCTCCAAGGTCGAGCAAACTCCGACTGCGCAGAAAATGACTCGGGGTGCCAGGTATGGCATGACAGAGATCGGCATGGCCTTGAGCAACAAGATCGATGGCACGCGGTTCCCCGGGCCGGGGTGCTCGGTGTCTTCTCGCGCATTTCCTTTGGTGCATTTGCTTGGATGTTAGGACTTTAACTTTTTGCCAACTCATGGGTTTTCCATTAAACCTCTAGAAGTTAAACTTTTTAGCAGGGGAGCAGAAAGCAACCGAATATTTCTGTGTCTGGACGATTCGGCAGGTGCGTCGGATGGCCTCTACCGCAAGTACAGGTCAAGCAAGACCAGGAGCGATGCGTGAAGCGAAGCAGAGCTGCCTTGAGCCTTGCGCAAAGAGTTGGCGTTCAAGACATTGGTTTTGGCAGATGCGGTGCAGCATGTGTAGGGGGCCATAACCAAGTTCAGTGTTCGCGTGACCATACATGACGATGAAGACAGACCTAATATTTGGATTGCAGGCTCTTGCGCGCACTGGCCGTGCTGCTGAGCGCATTAAGATACACATTGCGGATTGCCGGTCATGGCGCCCCCTCGTGTTCTGCGAGTTGTTCAATCGGGAAACTGCAAGTCCGCAGAGACGGAAAACGCGTTTTGCTGCAAACTTCAGTTTGGGCTCCAGATGACAACGTTGCCTGCGCGCCACGTTTTTCGCCGATGCAATCCGTAGCTATCCGATCAAGTTGGCAATCATCGTGAAGCAACATGCTGTTCACAGATCAAGCCCTCCCAATCCATCCCATCAGGATTTCCTGAATTTGCCTTGCCTCCGGCACCTTCTTGAGTTCTATGCGACCTCTCAAAACGGGCAATTCTTCAATTAGTGTGAAGGATATGTGTGCAAAGACAGCCACGCACTGGGATGCAGAGCCGAAGCTAGGCTAAAGCTGAGATCGGTCAGGCTTGACGGAATCGTGGCTTTGAAAGAAGAAGAAGCTGCATGTTCACTCTGGAATCTAAAAGCATGCGCTGCCCAGCCGCGCCGCTTCACAAACAATCATGAATCCAATCTGCTAGAGATGCTTGCCATGAATTACATGAATAGTTATGGAGTAAACCTGTCCTGGCACGTGTCCTCGGACTAAACTGGTACAACCAAAGAGCACCCATGCCCTTTCTTAGGAATTCAACTGAGGAAGAGCAGTTCGCCAAGCTGCTACCCGCCCCCACCCAAGCTACTACTGGCAAATTGTCAGCCGGAAAACGAAGTTTCGTTTCGGTGGATGAAGTGCTATTCTGTTTGCGAGTGATAACCACATGACCACAGCCCTCACTTTCACGCCTCTCCTCTGGTTGGGAAGTCAATGTCTCCGTCAGGATGGCGGCATCCTGGTGAAAGGCGCGAGCGCTGTGACAGAGCGCGCTGCTGGCTTGGGGGGAGATGCTGGTAGGCGGCCCGGTCTTCAAAGAGTACTACAAGCGAAAGGACGCGCCTGACTGCGGAGTGCAGGTCACCCGCTGGCTTGTGGGGTGGACTTGGTTTGATAGGCTGACAATCAGCAACTTGGCTGATGTATTGTTTCTTGAAGTGTGCCCCTTGCGCCAAGCAGTTGGTTATAAGCCAAAAGTGCCTCCTTTGCCCTCCCTCGCGCTGGGTGAATGCATTGCTCCGCAGGAAGCCACGGCAAAGGAGTTCACCAGCGATGGCTTCTTCAGGACGTGAAATGGTTTGACCAGACCGGTTTGGCCGAATGGCTTTGACGGGCCCGGCGGCCTTGGCAAAACAGTCTCAAGCAGCAATGTGACAAGGCCAGCAATGACAGGTAGCACTTGCTTGGATGTCCAGCTTTACTAGAGCCAATATGAGTTCTTGTGTCAAGCGGCCGTAAAACAAAGTGTTTGACCGCGGATGCTGTGTGTTTCGCTGCCACCGTGGTGAATCCTCACTTCTCTATGTCATTTTGCTTGCGCACTGTCTTGCTTTACGAGAAAACCATCGAACAGAAACGCAAGACAAAAGGGAACAGAAGCCATGCAGAGATGTCATGTAGCTGTGTAAGCGATTCCTGCGCCCAGCCAGTTCTTCTCATTGCGACTGCTTATGACCCTCAAAGATGACTCAGGGGGTCGATGAAGTGCAGCTTTCGTCAATGGTGGGGCACGCTTTGAACGAAGACAGCCGTACACGCTTTGTCGGTTGTCCAAAGCCAACCCTTTGTTCTTGTGATTTCTTGGACCAGTTTTGGTCCAATGGCCCAACAAGGCGAACCAGTCAATTGGGCCAGGACAGGAGACAATGCCACGCGCTCAGAGATGGGGTTCGCATCGCAAGACCCCGCCAGACCCAGGCAGTCGACTCATGCTATGCTTCAGAAACCTGGGCTTTGTATGGAGCCAGAAGTGGCATTCAGATTTGCGTATTTCCCATGTAGCTGTGTCTTGGCTTGGGGCGCTTTTTTGGTGGCTTTAAAGGGAAACCACAAGGAACATCCACCCTTTTGGGGGCTCCTGTAAAGAAAGACACCCATGTGTGTCCTGCTACGACTTTTCCAAAATGGGCAAAGACACATGCCACGCAGAATTAGCTGCACGGGTATAAATATAAATATTATATGTATAATATATATATATATACATATATATGTATACATATACTATTGCAGATATATCGTATCTACATGTGTGTATCTACATGTCACATATGGATATACACAGTTGTGCAATAGGTTTTCTGTCAAACAAGTGCTACTTTGTGTGGAGCCTTGATTGTAGCAAGTCACCGAACCCGAATTGAGCCAACAACTTGGATGCCGCGGCACGCGCTTCTCACTTGGCGCGTTCAGGTGGACATGGCTTCCATTCCTCAAAATGTTTGGGGCCAAAAGCTCCTGATTTTCCCATGTCAACTTTTTTGGGGCAACAACACAAACAATGCCCGTGGCTCATCTGGCAGTGGTGTGGAACAAGAGCCGTCAGTGAAAAACGATCGCAGCGTTTGGATGGTAAGATGCTGCAGAATGAACTGACTCGCCCTGTGATTCCAGCAAGAAACACGTCATCCAACATTCCTTCTGCGAGGCCCAGAAGGGCGGCTCCCCAGAAGAGCTGCAAAAGCTGCAGGAAGACACACTCTGTGGGTTTTTGCTGGTGTTTTTCTCGGGTGTTGCAAGACATTTGAAGTGGATTTCTCTTTGCCCCTTGACACTGGAGAGATTTTGGAGCTGGTTCTGTGAGATGTTGAGAGTCTTGGTTCCTGAAGGGAGCGTCGCCTGATGCTTTGATACGTTGACACGCCCCTGGAAGCTCAGATTTGCGTAGATGTTCCGGTATGTTCGGGTCGAATGTGTAGATCGTTGACGAAGTGTGCGCTGGACTTGGTCCGCTTTTGGCCAAAGCGCCGCATGGCTGGCCGGAGTTCGGAGTCTTTGGTCCATGCGTCCGAAGCAGCTAGTTTGCTAGCGCCTTGTTACCCTTTCTGAACATGAGGTCTCGCTAGCGCATTTGTTTCTTGGATGATGATGCTGCGCTCACACCCAAGCAGAATCCTGGCGCGCTTTTCAAGCGAGGATGGATCAGTAAAAACAAATATCTGATGCCCACTTGTGCTATGTCCCTCGTTTTTGAAGTAGTGTCCATGTCAAAACGGATTGAACAAACTCAGGCAATGTTAGGATATATCAGGCGCTGGGGCCACTGGGGGGGGGTCATGTTCACGGAAGATCAAGACACCTTAGTTTTCTAGTTCAGCATGCACGAGCACACGAGCAACAAACCACACAAGGAACTGCCGACCGCTTCAGCAAACAACAAGGTCAGGTGTTGATGAAAGGCCGAGCTGCGCTTTGAATCACCTGCAAATTCCAGGTCAGAGCAGGCACGCAGCGTCTTGAAAGGCCAAAAAACACGTGCTTCCGCATGCAAACGCACTACTTTTTGCGGCAAACCATGACACTGCGATGAAGAAGGGCTTCGAACCGCAAAAGTAGTCATCACTTTTTCTGCGATGCGCGCAAACTCCCTAATGAACTGGCAACTTTGCCAAACAAAATGGTAAATGCACTGCAAGAGTCGCTGGTTGACGACGAGTCAGGCCCTGTCGCAGTGAACTTAGCAAATATCGCTGGAGGATTTGCCAGTAGCGGTCTATGCGCTGCGTTCCCGTGCCGACACAAGTTGCAACCTTTCTGCGTTTGACTCTGCGTGACCACTCATTTTTTCAATGGAAACCATGCCATGGCTGCGTGAACCGGGTGCTTGAGCAAGTGAAGCCGTCTGCAGGGCAGTACCGGCGCAGCAGCACAGATGTGGCGGGGCAGGATCTGAAAGGGAAGAAAGGTAGCGAGCCAAGCGTGGAGGACGCGATTTTGTGGCCAGCAGATCGAAATCGAGAGCTCCACGGCAGGACAAGGAGCGTCACTCAGACAAACCACGAGGGAGTCCAAGTAAAAGGGATCAGCAAAGCAAGCGATGCGAAGCGATGCTTCGCACGAGCGCGGTGGGGCGGTGGGGCGCAGCCAGCAAACATCTGCAAAAGCACAAGAGAGGGCAAAGAAGAAGACGTGCCCGTGCTGCTTGGGCGGAACAGCAGCAACGGTGCTTGCGGACGTCGTCGCTTTCATGCCCCCACCCCCCAACACCCCCGTGCAAGTGGACCGGACACGTGCAAAAACACCAAGGCCTAATTTCAAAACTCTGACAACATGGGTGGCGCGCCTTGTTTTGGAAGTTGGCACCCTTGTTTTCGGGCCGGTTTGAAAGGACACCCAAAGGAAAAGTCAAAAATCAAAGTTGGGGGGGTCCAACTTATGTTAAGACACACCTCCAGCCGCTAGGACGACGCCAGGGAGGTGGAGGCAGCCTCTGGGCGGCCTTTGAAGGGGACTAAGCAGGCGAGGCATGCGGGGTTTGGGCTGGGGTGGGTGGGGTGGGTGGGGTGGGTGGGGTGGGGTGGGTGGGGACAGCCCAGTTTTTGGTTGAAATAATATGGCTGGTGTGGACCATTTGTCCAAAACTAGGAGCTGGTTTTGGGACCCGCACTTGGATGGGCATTTTACATGCCTCCAGAAACGGGCCTCATTGTGGTGTAGCGTCATGTTTGTTGTTTTCAGAGGATTTCACGGCACTGGACCCAACTTCAAGAACCCGTGCAAGAAGTCGCCTGCCACGGCTTTGAAGAGGAGCCAGATCGTGCGCTCGGCACCATCTTCCGAATTCTGGGCCTGGGCCTGAGGGCGTGGGGTGCAGTCATGCCGGGTGCGGTGCTTGTGTGTTTTGTCTATGCCTGGGAATTTGAATATTTTTTTGGTTCGGCGTTGAAAGCTTGAAAGCGCTTTCTTCATCCAGCAGACACATACAGCGAAGCACACCAGCGGTCATGCTTGACAGCATCATGGACTGGGCGATAAAAGCGCAAGGGTAGAAGGAAGCGGCATGGTACGGGCAGGTTTGAGAATAGAAGACTCCTCAAGCCCAAGGAGTTGGGGGGTACTCCGTATTTGTCTCTCCAAAGGCCGCACATCTGTGGACATCATCAAGAGCGGAGGCTACAAGATCTCTGGTCTGGAGATCGAGAGTGTGCGTCGCTCAGAAGCTCCCGCGTAGTTCAAACGAACTGGCAGCAGCTGTTCTGAATTCGGAAATTGAGAGTTGAGACTCGACACTTGGCTGACAAGGTGGCTGAACTGTTAGTGCATGTTGTGCTTATCTCGGTAGGCATGCCGGGGATGTTCTGGATACTCCATCTGACTTTAAAAGCCTACCTGACTCGAGAAGCTGGCAGCCTGTGCATTACTTGAACTCGTGCCGGAATTCAGGAGTCAGTATCCCATTGACCCATTGGCGTATCACGAATGGATGGTCTTGCTGAGTTGTTTTTTCGAAAGCAAGCTGCGGAGGGGTCCGCCTAGCTTCGCTGTTCTTTGGAGAAGTTGCTTTGCGGCTTCGGCGACTCCGCGGAATCGACGTTGCTATGTGAATTGGTTTCGGCAATGAAGTTCGTCGTGACCCAGGTCTTGCTGCAGCACGAGAAGATCCGGGAATGCGCAGTGGTGGGCAAGCCTGACGAGACCTGGGGTGAGAAGGCACGAAAGCCTCGGATGGATGCAGATGGGCGGTATGTCACAAGAAAACGATAGAAATAAATCTCTACCAGTTGCAGAGCAAGGTCCCCATTTTAAGCCTTGAACGAGTTTGTCACTGAGGGTATGCCAGCATGTTACTTGGAGCAAGTTTCAGAGACAGCAGTTGGTTCTTGGCGGGGCCTTTCTGCATGACTGAAAGGTGCCCAAGTTGAAGCTACTGCCAAGCTCGTCAACCGGGCATGTTGGAACATATCCAAAGTCTCGCTTAGAGAAAAGCAAGACTTTAAACAGAAGTTGTTTTGCACCAATCGCTGAGCTGTGTCGCAAAGAGCCAATCATCAAGTCTTGGAATCAGTGGAGTTGGACATCTCGTAACTTGTGAGAACCCACACGTGTATCAGACGCGAGCTGGAGCTTCTGTGACTTCGGACGGCTGTCAATGCACGCGAGATTCCCGTTGGCTGACGGGTCTCACGATGCTTTGCGGCTGCATGCAAGCCTGGTAGGTGACAGCAGTGTGCGTGCTGGAGAGTGGGACATCACTGGACATCAAGGACCGAATTCTAATATCAGGATTGGTCAAGGAATGACAGTCTGATTCTAAAGGCCAGCGACACAGTGGTGACTGCAGCAAGAGCATCAAACATGGCAGAAGTCCCGCGATTGGACCTAAGAACAAGAAAACAACAATAGTAAGAACAACAACAGCAACAGCAACAGCAACAGCTGCAACAACCACAACAGCAGCAGCAGCAACAACAGCAATAGCCAGCAGCAGCAGCAGCAGCAGCAGCAGCAGCAGCAGCAGCTGCAAGCAACCACCCCCATGGAGTAGGAGAGGCACCTGACACACATGATGCCTATGGAAGCGAGTTTGTTTCACCCTTGCTCTGAGGAGCTGCGTGACTGGGGCAAGGAGCGCATGGCATCCTACAAGGCACGACCAGAGCTGCAGTGCTGGCTTTGTTGGCTTCGCCTGCCTGGGCTTGGACGACGGCGATCCTTGCGGGAGCTTGTATTCATGAAAGTGTCCCCGTTGATCCAGGTGCCTGCCAAGGTGGAAAAGGGAGTCTTCGATGAAATGCCACCGAGTTGCAAGGTTGGCCAGTAACGAAAACAATCTGAATTGCCAAACAATGTGTATCATATATATATATATACATATATTTACACAACACATGCATATCCTCATTGCGAGGCCCCTCATCCTCACCTTGAGGTCAAAGGTCCTCGCAGCTCAACCATGGCTGATTGCTGCCAACCATTCATTGAGTGGCCTCCTACCTCAGAAACGGTTATCAACCTTGTACAAGCAACGATGACAGGCTGGGGCAACCGTGCCCATGTTGACAATGCCGCGCATGCAGAAACCACTGCAGTTTGGGAATCTCTGTATGCTGTGGTTGTCAACTTGCATGGACATCTCAGATGCTGTTTGGGGCTGGGGATTTTGGACTAGCGATTTGGACGTTTCACAGGTGCCGCAGGAGCTGGACATTGTCACTGAGCTGCGCTTGCCCCAGCATGTCAGAAAGTGAACAACCAGATGGCGGTCGTTTGTTTGCAGCCACAGAGCAGTACTTGGAGTTGGGGATGGGCTACTTGCTTGGTTGCCGGGCCACTTGGGCCATGCTTGAAGTGGACAAGGCCTCGAAACCAGATGGGCAAGCTGGAGAAGAAGAAGATTCTGGAGAGGCCCAGACAGGGTGTCCAATTGGTAGGACAAGAACCGTTCCAGTCAATGCGCTGAAGGGACAACTCGAAAGTGAGATTGCAATTGCAAGCACCTCACGCGGCTTTGTAAAGTGGGAATCACTGGACTGCAGCACAGTATTCAGTAGACGTGGGGCGCAGTATAGCATTCAGTAGATGCGGGGCTGGACATGTGCTTTCCTACTGACCGCGCGTCAGGTTTAAGCAGTCGGCATGAGCTTCTCATCGCTTCAAGTAGGCCGGCATGTGCCAATCCACAAGGATGGACGGGACAGCCGTTGGGAGTCAGAAAACCCAAACACGTCTTGTAGCTGTGGTTTTGATACACGTTAGCAAGGACATCCTTCCTGGCGCTGCTTGTGTAGTTAGGGCACAGCGCGTTGTACAGCATACCTGGCGGAACAGTTGTAGAGATTGCTATCGCCTGTGCAAAAGGTTTCGCGCGGGCGTTTCACCAGAAAGTGTTTGGTCCCGATGCGATGACACGGCTCATGTTTTTCCACTGGTAGCTTCTAGGGCTTCGCCAGATCGTGTCGCGTATCTCTCACACATGAGGACTGCGTTTCGATGGCGAGCAGCTTTTGTTTCATGTGAAGATGAAGGTTGATCCTTGTCGAGCTTCTGGATTTCATTTGCCTTCGCTCATGGCTTGATGGCTTGCCCTGCCCGGCCCAAGCGGATCTGAACCCAAAGGGTTGCAGACGCCAGGCGCGGACCCGTCGGTCTGGAGGGATTCCAAGCGGGTGGCACGGGGGGGGGGGTACACGGAATACAGTCGGAGAACCTGCGCCGACATTTGGCTCGAGGAGTTTTTTTTGCAAGTGCGGCCGCAGGTTTTGTTGCAATGGGTGCTGCCAACACGAAGGAGGAGTTTTGGCAGGACGACTTTCCTGCTGCCGATTCACCAAATGTGTGGAGCCATGTGCCGTGCATGGTTTCAGACGACCTGTGTCAGAGCATCAAGCCTGAGCCATTGTATCTCCCACCCTGCATCGTGGTTCCACAGGTCGTGCAAATGGAGAGTCAGCAGCAGTCTTTGGACAGAAGCGCTCACCACAAGAGCGCTTTGGTTGCCAGCGCACCGGTTCCAAGTGCTGCACCCGTCGCGCCTCAGCCTCAAGCCGCCATCGCCTTGAAGGCCGATGCCAGTCCCAAGGAGGTCTCTAAAGAGGGCGAGGCCGCGCAGGCCGGCGAGCCCGAGCCGCCTGCGGAGCTGACTGGCCGGCGCAAGAGCCTGTTTATCGGCATCAACTACTACGGGTCGCAGCACGAGCTGCACGGCTGCGTGGATGATGTGCATCGCATCATGCCGCTGATCCACGGTTGGGGCTTCCCAGAAGACGATGACCACTGCCGTGTCTTGTTGGACTCTCCTGACTGGCCCCGGGCCAAGCGCCCGACGAAGGCCAACATCATGGCGGCCATCTCCTGGCTGGTGACGGGGGCCGCTCCAGGGGACGCGCTGTTCCTGCACTATTCCGGGCACGGCGGTCGCGAGCCCCGCACGGATGGCAGGGGGGAATGGCATGAGACGCTTTGCCCCGTGGATATGGAGGAGGCGGGTATGCTGATGGACAGCGAGCTGTTTGAGACGCTGGTGAGACCGTTGCCCAGCGGTTGCCGGCTCACATGTATCCTCGATGCTTGCCACAGTGCTGGGGCCCTGGATCTGCCCTACATCTTCACTGGCACTCCGGAGAACATCAAGAAAGCCCTTGCCGGAGAGGCGATGCAGATGGCTCTGTCCAAGAACTGGCTCCGCGATTTCGAGCGCTGGTCTGAAGCAGAAGATCCAACAGCGCTTCTGGGGGACATCGCGTCCATGGGCCTGGGGCTTTGGGATATGTATTCGCGGTACAAGGCGAACGCTGCGGCCAACCAAGATGGCTTTTGCCCCGACGAGCCTGGGAACATTGGCATGGCAGTGGGGGAGGTTGTGGCCATCACAGGATGTGCCTCTGACCAGACCAGCGCGGATGTGGGGGATGTGCACTCCGAGTTTCAGCTGCCCACAGGAGGTCATTTGCGCCCAGGCCAGAGGAGCACAGCGGGAGGAGCCCTGACTTCAGCCTTCATTGAAGCCATGGACCCCCAGGCCATGCAGGGCAGTATCAGCCACTTAGATTTGCTGGAGCATTTGCGTGCGCGCCTGGCCGAGGCTGGCTACAGCCAAGTGCCCCAGCTGGCATCCTCCATGGTGCTGGACTTGAAGAATTCCTTCTCGCTGACCGCCTTGGCGACGGCCAAGCAGCGCCAGTGTGCGGGCCAGCCCTTGAACAGCCAGCCCAGCCGCTCGGGATGGGCAGGAATGGCAAGTCAAGCTGTGGGAGCGATGGGCTCGGGTGGCTACGGTTGTGCACCTGGCATGGGCGGCATGGGCGGCATGGGCGGCATGGGCGGCATGGGCGGCATGGGCGGCATGGGTGGCATGGGCGGCATGGGCGGTGGCATGGATGGTTTGGCCGGCCTTGGCATGCTGGGTGCCCAGCAGTATATGCACCCCAGCCAACCGCAGGCGCAGCCGGAACCGGCGCAGCCGGAACCGGCGCAACCTGCAGGCATGTTCTCCGGGCTGTTTGGAGGGAGTCGTGGCTTCGACGAGGATGAATTTGAGGAGCAGTGTGCGGACGATGATGATGACGATTATGAGGATGACGAGGAGGACTATGATGACTACGATGATGATGACTACTAGACCAGGCTAGCTCTGGTCTTTGCATGAGCAGGCTCACGAGTGTGCGGAGGCTTCAACGTTTGTTCTGAGGCAGCACAGCTTGCAAACCTTATCACCATCGAGTTTCTTTGTACAGCTTAGCATAGTTGATTATGAGCATCGGAGCAGGTTGCAACAGTCAACTGGGCGGCCAGCAATAGACTCCGTAATTTGCAGCCATGCACAGGCACTCCTAGGCCTTTCCTGCCAGGGTGCAGGACAACCCTGTACTCGCTGACAGTGGGCAAGTTTTTCCCGATAAACCCGCGGAATCCCGCCAAACCCAACTCCTCATTTGCGAAAATAAGTGGCTTGGCAGGAGTTGTCGCTTGTTGCTTGATGAAGGTGAAGCATGCAGTTGGTTGTTTGCTGTGGATGCAACGAAGTTGTCGGCAAGGAGAAACTATGGTCGTTTGACTTCCTTTGCCAGAGTGAGGTACATGACAAGTACCATCCGGCTGGTCTGGAAGTCTGACAGCAAGATCAGCGTCATGTTGTTGTCATGGTCACCATTGGCAAAGGTGCTATGTGCTAAAGCTATGCTGCTTGCACAAGACGCCGCCGTTGAACTTGAGGGCCAATCAACGTGAAGGTGGTGAGGTGCGGTTGCCGAGTGTCCCCTTTGCTTTGCACAAGTATGTGGGACCTCTAAGAGTACCCTCTGTAGAATCCAACATGGAACCAGCAACATGCTGGTCAACCGGCTCTGCACATGTGAGCAGAAGTAGGCGCTTGACAGGCGTTCCCATGGTTGCATGTCGACTGAACAAGTGTTAGGACTGGTCCTTGGACATATTCAAAGTGGGTGGGTGAAACGGTGAAGCGGCCAGCGTAGCCTTCGCTCAAGATCTTAAGGGAAACGGATTTAATTGATACATCATCCCGCGAGGCTGCTTGGTACGGCATGGCTTATTGCAATGTGTGCATGGCAGGCGGGTATGGCTCTCCCGGATCAGCCATGGAAGGAGCACGTCAAAGCAATCAAGGCCGGGCTGTACGGTTTGTGTGTGCGCGTGGTTTGCTTCTGTGCCGTTTGCTCAGAGTCTATTCCATGAGCATTGTGTGTTAACACGAGAGACAAACATCTACATGCGTGTCCTATTCATGCTCCTTGTCAATCAGCTTGTTTTGCAACTTCTTGCTCACGTTTTTGGCATTGCCTGGTACAACACGCCATCACAATATTTGCATTTTTGATACCCAAATGCCGGCAAGTTTCAAGAGCATTCCGAAAGCACATGAGCAGCAGGAACGAGATCAAGCCCACGTGCCCACAAATACCACCAAGTAGCAGGCTTCCAAATGACAAGGCTGCTATGAAGCTGCCAGGGTAGCGTTTGCACCCAGGGTATTCGCACCGAGAGCAGCCATGCCCCCTCCTCCTCCTCTTCCTCCTCCCGTTCCTTCTTCTCTTCCTCCTTCTCCTCTTCCTCCTCCTGCTCACCATCGTCGTCATCATCATCTCATGATCATGACCCATCGGCACAGAACTGCTCACGCTTGGGGATTGCCACTGAGCACCATCAATTCTACGCCTCGTATCCTTTTGGAGCAGATCACCGATCGCTCGGCTCAAGTTGAGCGAGGGACCTTGGAACTCCAAGCTCAGGGCACATCTCTCTCAGAGAATTCTCTCTCTTTGTGTCACTTGCTTATGGGTTCTTGCTTTGCGGTTTCTTACTTGTTATTCAATTATTTCTGGTTTCCTTTCTTTCCTTTCTTTCCTTTCTTCTTTATTTCTTTGGTTCTTTGGTTCTTTCCTGCCTTCCTGCCTTCCTTGCTTCCTTGCTTCCTTCCTTCCTGCCTTCCTTGCTTCCTTGCTTCCTTGCTTCCTTGCTTCCTTCCTTGCTTCCTTGCTTCCTTGCTTCCTTCCTTCCTTGCTTCCTTGCTTCCTTGCTTCCTTCCTTGCTTCCTTGCTTCCTTGCTTCCTTGCTTCCTTGCTTCCTTGCTTCCTTGCTTCCTTCCTTCCTTCCTTCCTTGCTTCCTTGCTTCCTTGCTTCCTTGCTTCCTTCCTTCCTTCCTTCCTTCCTTCCTTCCTTCCTTCCTTCCTTCCTTCCTTCCTTCCTTCCTTCCTTCCTTCCTTCCTTCCTTCCTTCCTTCCTTCCTTCCTTCCTTCGATGATGATGATGATGATGATGATAAATCATCACTAGGCAGCCACATGAATCAGCACTAAGACTAGGCAGCCCCATGATGAATCATCAGTAATGATAATAATCATCACCACGCATCCCCAGCATCACCAGCAGTCATGATGATAATGATGACTACGCATCCTCAGCATCTCCAGCTCTGCTTGGCGGGACACGTGAAACGTACCATCCAATGCTGGGGATGAGTCCCTCAGAAGGCCATTCTGAGTCCATGTTTCCAATCAGGCGAAACACAAAAGGCTAAAATGGTTGATGCCCCCAGGATCCCGATGGCTGCCTTTTGTTTTTTGTGGACTCGAGCTCCAGAAGCCAAAAGTCGACATGCGTGCGGGGGAGTCTGGGTCTAATGTAACTTTGGATTCGTGTGAATGAGGATAAAATGGCCGACGCCCTGAGCATCCTCATAGCCGCCTCTTGTGAGAATGTCGGGCGATTGCCTTTGCCTAGCTGGGCCTTTTTTGTTCTGCAGCCATAGGAAGATGACCAGCTGGATCTGTTTCACATTTCTTTCAAGCACGCAGAGCATGCCGCTGGATATTCAAGGGGCGCCAAGTTCGTCGTTGTGTCCAGGCCAGTACTGCGTCTCCAGCAGCTTGGCATGCATGTCTGCGGCCGTTGTCCACCCTCTTTCGACGAACCACGAGAGGTGGAGCACGTACCAGGACCCAATGGCTGGCAAATAACCCCAAAACAGCCATTGGGAGGTCATTCCACAGACCATTTGCCAGCCATTGGGGGGTCCTCGTATATCCTTGTTTTGTGTGTTCCGGGGCCCTTGGCCCCAATGGCTCACGCTTTGGTGTCCAATGGCTGGTGCCGAAGACGCGGAAGGTTTGGCTCCGGCTAGGTCTCTGTGGACCACTTGCACGGCGAGTTCAAGCGGGCGTGGGGCATAGACGGGCTGACGTAGCAAGACCTGGCTGATGACAAATACTATCGCCATATTGCTAGAGCTTTCTTTGCGTGCGGCGATGTGTATGAGGCGAGCCGTAGGGCAGAATGTATCCAGATCCTGAAAGGGATATGCTGAACCGACACAGCCGGCCGCCGGACCCACCCACCCAACCACCCCCTGCATGTCCTTCATTACGTTCTTCCATTCAAGTATCCATGTTCCACTCATTTTCCAGCCATTTCCAATCCATGTTCCATCCATGCTCCATCCATTTTCCATCAATGTTCGATCCGTTTGCCGTCCAGGTTCCATCAATGTTCTATCTATTTTCCAAAATTGTCCATCAATCTTCCATCCATTTTCAATCCATTTCCCACTCATCCATTATCCATCAACTTTCCATCAAGTGTCCATCTATTGTCCATAAACTTGCCGTCCATCCATATATATGTGTTATTTATTTTGAATCCGTTGTCCCGCCAATTGTCCCTCCATTTCCTCTGATCTGGGCCGGCTTCGGCCCGGTCACGTCCGGCCGGCTTAACAGGCCTCCGTCAGGCGCGCCCAGGTGACCTCTGGACGAGGCAGGGTGCTGCACGCGGGGACCGAGCACAGCTCAGCGGCCACTGTCCTGGCACCGCCGCGCACGTTGCTGGCCGGGGACAAGATGCTGGATGGCCAAGCTACCCGCACCCAAAGGCAAGACCTCACCCACGTTGTGGCGGCGATGCATCTCACTGAAGATCTTCATGAGGACATCCGATTGACCAGTCCTGGGACCGGTCCTGAGAATCATCAATCCCCATCACCTCATTCCCAGTTGCATCCCTTGCCAGTCTCCTTTGCAGGAGGCTAGGATGGGAGGCAGAGGGTCGGCAAAGTTGGGGGGACGTCTTCGGACGGGGATCAAAAGAGAAACCACGTGGACGGCCAGACACGAGCCATAGGTGGAGTTGGCTTCTCTCGATCACAACCGGGTCGAGCCGAGTGGCTCAATAGAGTCGCCAACAGAAAGCATTTGGGGTTTCTCAAGTTTGGGGGGCCCACTTGGTTGGAAGGGAAACAAAGGCTCACCAACGCCCCCAACTCACATGAGTTTGGGACGCCGCTATCTTGCTGATATCTATTGACCAGCAAATGTTCCTCACTAAAGATTGATCTCTCGGCTCAGACATCCACAGCTCAGTCCTTGACGGGGAAAGATGAACAAGTCAATGTGCACAGTGCATGACCAGAGAAATTGAGGTGCTAGACATGGTGGCGGAGATCAAGCAGGACAAAGCTGACGCGGCCGAAGAGGCGGATTGTTTCTTGAGATATGCAGAACTCCGAGCTAAGTTTAGCCACAGGTTGGCACGGTAACTCAGGGACAAGTTGAGAGGTGGCCTCACTGTTCAGGCAATGCCATGTCTGCACGCAACATGAGGTCTTGCAGGCATCTCACCCACCTAGTGCGACAAGACGATGAGATACGATTTGAGGCTAGCCTTTTTGCATGCTTTTCAAAGGTAAGCCAAAAGGAAGCCGTCCCATTTGTTGGGGTTCTTCTACTTTGAGACAACCCCAGTACCCTCAGCTCGAGCCGTGAATTTTTATAGGAACGCAGGCCTTGGCTGGGCTCGCCAAGTTTTTTGCCAGGCCAAGCGAACCGCAAAGGAGCGGCGTCAGCGCGAGGAGGTCCATGTGGGACACCCAGCTGTTTTTGATTTGAGCGGAATGGAACGGCAATGGCCATGGGTTTCTGCGACTGTCCCAGGACGAATTGGAACCACAAGTTCCATTGGCGCTCATACTTGTTTTTTGTATTTGATCTGCCTGGTAAATCCTAAACCAAGGGTGAACCCTGAGTCCATCTTGCAGATTTCCGTGCACTGTGCGCCCAGTTTGTTGCATGCACTGATGTTTGCCGCATGCTGTCATTGCAAGCTTCCCCACACTTGGCTTTGGCCTCACTGACCGTTTGCAGGGCTTCTATATTCCCTTTCCGGCATCAGCCCACACTTTCTTCAAACTGGCCCAAGGGTAATGTTTAAAGCCACCCAAGGGAAGTTTGCGGACCCAGCTTTGGGCTATTCGTGGAATTGAACACAGCAACCAGAAGCAAACCGAATGATGCTAGTGCCTTCTTGGACGCTGCCGCAGGAGCATGAATGTAGTATAAGTGTAGGATGGGATTGCACAAGCTGACAAGGCATGCACTCTGACTGGCTGACTCTGGCAAAATGGGATTTGGGTCAATCCTGCACATCAGCCCTTGAGCCTCTTGAGCTCACATAGGGAAGCCCGGCAGTTTCAGACACCGCAGGTTCGAATGTTCCATTTGTGAGCAGGCATTTTACACTTTTACAAGGCTCCTCAACTCAGACTACAGCGCACGGCATGTATTGATGCAGAGGAGATCGAGATTCGAGACTCCTTGCTGGCGCCAGCCTGAGAAAATAGCCAAAGGAGAAGGGTGTGTGTGTGTGTGTGTGAGTGTGTGTGCGTGTTTAGAATTTAGACTGTGCATTGAGAATGACTTCTTGAAGCATGCAAACTGCAAGAGAGTAATGATCAGTTTTGGCGACAACAGTTGATGGGATGGACCTGGCTTGCGCATGCCTCAGCCACCTTTTTGAGGTGTGTCAAGAAAGGCAAGACGCCTTTGTCAACCAAAGGCAAAGCCAATTCACAAGGATGACCGTTGCCTGGGTCAGGTGGCAGAAGTGTCGTTTGCAAGGTCCGGTGTTTGCTGAACGGATCACGGCTATAGTCAAATGAAGCCACAGGTGAAGGGTCACGAATCAACCAACTTGGTTCCCTGGAGTTTGTAAGCAGGGAACAAATATCTTTGCATTGGTATGCCCACGACAACCACAGGGAAATTAGCCAGACCCAGCCTCTTCACGCCTAGGTGCCAGATCCGTCTCCTGCGCCTGGGCAGCATGTCGGCCGAGGGTTCAGGGCTGCGAGTGAGCGGCGTCTTGGATTGGTCCGTTGGATTGGCAAATGGCGATCTGTTTTGATTGTCAGCGCCAGTCATGTCAGTGCCAGTGAAGCAGTCAGGTGCTTCACAGATAAGTGCTGGTGTGTGCCGATGCTTGAATTTTTGCAGGCTAGATCTCGCAAGAAGAAAAAGAAGGCCTGGCGGCTGCCTGAGCTGTGTGTGTCAATGGCTTGCAGAGATCGAAAGCACTGCGTTTTGGCGCTCGCAGGAAGACGTCAACGTATTCCAGGACTTCGGAAAGGAGCAGCAGAGTCCATTCCTTTTGCGGACACCGCGAGTCGCTTGAAGTTTTGGGTTGGCAAGTCCTCGAGACACAAACACCCGCCAGGAGCATGACGACGCTCCCATCCAAGAGACCAAAGTCAATGGAATGGCAAGGGGCCTGAGCATGGCACAAGGCATTTTTCAGGCAGCGGACACGGGTGTGGTTGCATTTTTTTGAGCTGGTACCTCCTTTCAAATGGCTTCAGAGGGAACCCGCAAGGAGAACCTAAGCCACTTGGCAGGTCCCCCAAAACAAGACACCCCCAACAGATTGGATACTCTTGGGCAGACTGGGAGGGACCGGCCTCGCGCAGCATCACTTAAGCAGGGCGGATTGGAGATGTTTGTCTGAAGCTGAGCATGTGAGCCGTGTGTGTGTGTGTGTGCGCATGTGTATCGTGTATTTGTTTTTCAAAGATGCACTTGTGAGACCTTGCCGCAAAGCTTCTCAGCTTTCATCGTGCAGTGGAAAACTGAGTCAGAAGTGTCACATAACATTGAAAGGCATCAGCTTGCTGCTGGCTGCAGTTTGTTGGGCAAGCCACGCAGGGACATACACAGACAGCTTCAGTGATTCAGTATGTAGAAGTATTCAAAGAGGCGCAAGAAGGGTGTGTCACCGCTCTCAGGTATTTCTTAAGCGGCCAGCTTGAATTTTAGGATGCGTGGTGAGAGCTCCCAAGGTCTTCTACAAGGTGAACTACAAGCGCTACTGGCAGTGCCTTCCCCAGAGCTTCGCGGATTGGGAAGGGCTGACATCATCGAAGCAGTGCAGCTCTCGACGCAAGCGAATGGATTTTTCATCGCCCGGTTTTTTTTTTTTAAAAATGCTTTTCCTTGGTGTCTTCACAGGTTGCAAATTGTTGCCATACTCTTCTGAATTGGTACCAATGCTCAACCGCAAGCACGTCAGTACTTCGCCCTCGGCACTTCGCCTTGGCTTTAGGCCTCCAACCAGCTAGCCTCAAGCTAGCAGTCGCAATATTCAATCTTCACTATCATGAAGGAGACGACCTGCGGTCTGGGCAAATTAAATCATGCCTGGTCATTAGGAGTGCTCTCCCCCTTCAGAAGACGGCGCTGCTCGAAAGTGAGGGAGTCCCCCTGTGTGGGGAATCTTGTGAGCCCCCCATGTGCCCAGGCTGACCTTTCCAGTTTCGACCAACATTGGACAAGTCCATGCCGGAATTTGGAGTACATTTCAGCATGTGACAAAGTAGACGGGACTCGAAATCTCTTCAAATGTCTTTGGTTTTCCTTTGGGCTTCCCTTTGGGCCGATGAAACTTGGTGGTTTTTAGCCCTCCCCTTAGGTTTTCACTTGTTAGTGTTCGGTTGGATTTTGTTTTATCCCACCAAAACTTAAGCTGTTCGCGGGACCTAAGGACAGCCCAAGACAGTAGCGACTCAGAAAAAGCCTCCGCTTCGTAGGTCAGAGCATGACTTGCAGCGCTGGACGGAGGCCTGACCGGATGTCTTTGAGTCGCAAGCTGTGAGTCTGGTTTAGGGGGAACAGAATGGCTCGGGTGTTGCTGTTGGCTTCCTTTTAAAAGCCAGAAAAGCAAAGTGCCCGCCCCGAAAAATGACACCCAAGTAAGGATCCCTGGGAAGTGTCCAAAAATATGCTGTTGACTCGCGGAATCTAGAGGAACAGTTGCAACGAACGATGCCCAATTGTCAAACAGACGGGCAAGGTTTCGGAAAGGCATCCAAAAGAAGGAAGAGCATGAGAAGGGCAGAGCTCACTCACACTTTCTTCCGGTTCTGAAACTACTTCAAAGGGCCCCATGATGGCATGTCTCTTTGGTCACGACGACAAGATGTGGCTCCTTTGTTTGGGGGGGGCCCCGTTGGGGTTGTAGGGAAGCAACAAGGGTTAACTCATCGCCAAGTTCGGGCCAGGGACTGCACCACAACATCCGCTACGAGAATCTCCTCTACGAGGCAGAGACAGATGCCAACGGCCGCTTTGCTTTTTTGACAGGACCTGAAGTCTTGGACGCGGGAAAAGGCAGTCGTTCGCGGTTTGTGCCCGCTTGGAAACAAAGTGCGGTCTGCTTTACTCTTTTTTTAACGGTGTGCCCTACCAAGCAAGTCTTTGTTTGGCGTGTGACCAGCAAGACACTGCTGCCAGGGTGCACTGATTGCAATAATTGGGTTTTCACGCCCCAGACTTGTCAATGTCGCCGACTGCTTTCATGATTTTCCTGGTGCAGGTGCGGGACCGCTGGCATGAGGATTTGCTGGGCGACCGCCTTCAGCTGAAGATCAATCACAATCCACTGGCCAGGCAGGAGTTGTTTGCCTGAGTGCCGCACGGGAGAAAGCGCCACTATTATTGGCAGCCAGCCCTAAGCCTTCACATGTCTGCCCGAGGAACAATGAATACTGTTAGTGGCTCACGTGGTTCCTGACCTGACGTTGGTTTGCCGAAGCTCCGCTTTGTTAGCCTTGGGAGGTAAGGGTGATGAATTCAGCGTCAGCGTGTCACGCGCACGTGTACATCCTGAGGAAGCAAAGCATGAATGCAAAGAGATTTGTTGATGCTACTAACACAGCCGCGTCCGCTTGCCATGCGGTTGAACTAAGTCAGCACATGGGCTTCGAATTGTTGTGCTGGCGACCCTCAAGAGTGGCACTTCTTGCGGCCTGAGGTTTCGGATGTTTCAGTGTGCCTTTGCGCCTGGGATACGATGTTGGCTGCTTGCGGTGGGATTGTGGCGTGATTCTGAGGGGATGTGCCTTAACTCGGGGCCAATCCAAAATCAGATTCGTGAGAATGTCATTCCCAACTGCAAGGGCCACTTGACTCAAATCTCGGTAGGCGTCCCCGCAAAATTTTGATGATGCCTCATGCCCAGAAAAAAAAGAGAAACGACCGGCCCCGGCGTTTTGTTCGTTTCATTCGCTTGGTATTTTGATGGCAGGTCGCGCAGCCAGCGGTATCGGCCCAGCACGGTGTCCACATCCCTTCAGCTCAAGGCACCTTTGAAGCGCGCAGTCCTCCATGTGTCTGGCTTGTTTACAAGGGCCAGCTTGTTGTCCCCTTGTTCCACAAAGGGAAACTGAAAGGAAGCAACCACGTTTTTTGGAGGGTCCGTTTTGAGAGCCCATGTACTGTTTGCTAAAGAGAGCACTTGCGCTAGAAGGGAAACACCAGGATGGGTGGATCTGTCAGGGGCTGTTTTCTAGCAGTGATTATCGAGGCGCAACTTGGTGTTATGACTTTTGAGTTTACATGCGGAGGGAAGCTTGGTCTACATCCACCTTCCCCAATCGAATGGTGTCGGCAGGGAGACCCAAAGGAAACACCCAAAGGATCGCCGTTCGCAAGTTTTTGCACAGGATGAATGTTGAATGCCTGTGGCGCGCAAGCAATTCCACTTAAGTGAAGCACGTGATGGACAGAGTCCTTTAGCCATGTATTCATTCAGTATTTGCCTGGGACTCATCCTGTGCCGCGTATCCTGGCGGGGGTCGGATCGCATAGGCATTCCGCAGAGAAAAAAGCCAACCATTTCCTGCGTAGGCAGGTTAGCGAGGCGCGTTTTTGCACACAGCGCAGTCCAAAGAGTGGCTCGCAAAAGCATCTTGACGCAATAGGCCCGCTAGGCACCCAGGAGGCGCCCGCGGAGAAATCAGAATTTGCGTCAACATGTCAAGTCATTAGCTTCCTGCCGATTGAAGCATAAGAAATCAACCAGGTTCTCCCTTAGTGCCCTTAGCAAGTTCACATCACATCAAAGCAACCTGCTGCTCAAAAGAGGTAATAAATACTCATGGCTCAACGAGATCCTGCCAGTATCTAATACACAAACTGGCCAATTCATACTTAGGTAGAGTCTTTGAGGTACACAATAACAGACATGGCATGCCCCATTGCTCGACAAAGTATTTGCCGAGCAGAAAGCTGAGTCCTGTGGCTGCCACTCGGAGCCATGTGCTGTTTCGCTGGCAACTCGCGGCTCAAGGGGGGGCATAGGTGGCATGCTTAACTTGCGAGATTTGTTTGAAGACGCAGCGTAGCTTCTATCAGTTCTGAACAAAAAGGGTGACAACGGGGGTAAACCACGCTGATGGTTTTTTTAGGTCAAACCGTCACACCGTCCAACCTTTGTTTCCAGTTACTTGGCATATTTAAAGCAGGAGACTTCCAGATGTGTCGGTAGGACCGCATCCTGACCGCGTCGCCTTTTTCCCGATTTTCGGGGACATTCGGCGGATGCCGTTCTTCTTGGGCTTGGCAGCTGCAATCCCGAAGCTCGCGTACTTCACGGCCTCCGATGCGCTAGGAGGGTACCGGGGCGATTAGATGATTAGATGCGGATGATGCAGTAAGAAACATGGTGGAATGGGTGAGCAAATCAACTTGCGGTTTTCCCTTGAGGACCAGGGGTTGGTTGTTTCAGCAGCCCCCAACCCTGCGGGGGGGGGGGGCAGTGAGCAGAAGCTTCTGCGGTTATCGGGGGCTTGCTGCAAAGCTCATCCAAGGTTTGGGCATCCATGGTGTTCGTCGTTTTGCATGGGAGCCTCAAAGCTCCACTCACGTGTCCATAATGTTCATCCACAAGCCTTAGGGCGACAGCACTTCATGCGACACTGTATGACAAGCTGGTTTTTGTTTGCTCTGTGTGTGTGTTTTGGAAAATAGATGGCCCTGCTAGATGATTGAACTGCCAGGCAACCCAGGGCCTTCTGTTTTTAAAGCAAAACAATCAAAGCGGACACCTATGGTCGATCCTTTTCCTATTGCCCAGCGCAGTGCCAGGCCACAAGAAAGATGTACCATGTAGGAATCAATTTGCCAATGATATCGCGCTGTCTCTTTATACCCAAGCCTTGCCAGCTGGATGACCCCATAACGTGAAGAAACAAATCTGAAGAGCTTCCATGCTAGTGCTTCCTGGAGCTTTTGGAATCCGCCCTGAGGCAAAGCATGTCGTGTTCAATTCGGTCCGAACATGTCCGGACACCTGTGGGATCGACGCAGTGGTTCGACCTGTGAAACATCCACATCAGCACACTGAGTGAGCAGATTAGGACTTGCCGCGCGGTGCCTGGTGCCACTGGCACAAGGAGCACCAGGCCGGCAATCCAAAAAAGTGAAATGGGTATGAGTCAAAATTAAACCACCAGGAGACCACAGCTTTTAGCCCTTGGTTCCATCTACCAGGGTTCCATTTTGGGTATCCATTTTTGACCCACAGCCAAATGACTCAGACAAGATCACCAAGTTGTCTTGTGATTTGGGCGATATGGATGTACTGTACTGCCCAAATTGCGAGTCAGCCTGCAAGGGCATTGAGGGATGGCTCGGAATTGCCAATGATAGGTCTGGCATGCTGCCACTTGCCAGTTCATGACGTATGTTCCAGATCTTGTGTCATGAACGGATAAATGATCAGACTTGACACAGGAGGCGGATAGTATTTGCGTTTCACCTTCCGGAGTGTTTCTATGCCCAGACAGCATACTCTTCCCAGAATGAGCCATGACTTGTGCCCAACCGGGGTCGCCCATCGGACAGATCACGACATCTTAGGAGTGACTGACTGCCTGCCTTTGTGAGGCCCGACCATCAATGCGCTGACCTCTGGCGGCATCTTCTACGGCCTAATGGGAACATTGACAACCCTGCTTACAGGACTCGTTGAGTTTGCGGCAGCATAGTTTCACGGCCCGTCAGAAGTCTGAGTGCCTTCCAATTGCTAGATCTAGCCGCTAGCTCTCCCACAGAAGATTGTTGGTTCAAGCATGTTCAAGCAAAAATAGTATGATATCGCTGAAGGAAGTCTTCAATCAGATATGTTTATATACACTCTTGCCTGACATGCTGCAGAAGGCAAATGATGGCGTATGCGACAAGCTCAATTGTCGGGGCTATTGCTTGCTCTCCCCGCATTCAAGGGGTGGGCCTCGTGAACAGTCCTTTGGTTCCATTGTCACAGCGGACATGCCTTGGTTGGAAGCTTAAACTTGTGCGGGTCAGGGCAGGTTTGGAGATTGGCGTGTCTTTTCCATTGCCCACAGCGTACAACTATGCTGCACGTACAAACGAATACTCAAAGAAACTATATACTTGTTGGTGTGTGCGTGTGTGCGCGTGTGTGGGTGTGTGCGTTTGTGAGTGTGTGTGTGTGTGTGAGTGTGTGTGTGTGTAAGTGTGTGTGTGTGTACGTGTGTGTGTGTGAGAGTGTGTGAGTGAGTGAGTGAGTGAGTGAGTGAGTGAGTGAGTGAGTGAGTGAGTGAGTGAGTGAGTGAGTGAGTGAGTGAGTGAGTGAGTGAGTGAGTGAGTGAGTGAGTGAGTGAGTGAGTGAGTGAGTGAGTGAGTGAGTGAGTGAGTGAGTGAGTGAGTGAGTGAGTGAGTGAGTGAGTGAGTGAGTGAGTGAGTGAGTGAGTGAGTGAGTGAGTGAGTGAGTGAGTGAGTGAGTGAGTGAGTGAGTGAGTGAGTGAGTGAGTGAGTGAGTGAGTGAGTGAGTGAGTGAGTGAGTGAGTGAGTGAGTGAGTGAGTGAGTGAGTGAGTGAGTGAGTGAGTGAGTGAGTGAGTGAGTGAGTGAGTGAGTGAGTGAGTGTGTTTGTGTGTGTGTGTGTGTGTTTGTGTGTGTGTGTGTGTGCAAGTGTGTGTGTGTAAGTGTGTGTGTGTGTACGCGTGTCACGTGTACGCAAGTGCGCGCCGAGTTCCAGAAAACCAAGGAACGCCCTCAGTTTGCAGGGAGCCTGGTTGCCCATGCAAGTACCAGCCCAACGAAGAGGCTTGTATGTGGCATTGGAATTGCTGGGACTCTCACCGACGTACCTGGAAAACGATTGTGATGTTCTCGCTGTTGATTTTCTTGTTGACCGGGGTTGTGAGGTGTGGACGTCTTTTCAGTTCTATTCGTGCGGTTGAGTGAAACCCGTCCACCAACTACCCACTACTCCAAGGCACCCACTCTGGAATTTATGTTTTATTCAATCATGGAGCTTTTCTTCTTGCTTGGGGATTTAAGTGTGTGTATGCGAGAGAGATCCAGACAGAGAAGCCGAGCGGATTGAGTCAGATTTTTTCGAGGAGTCAGCCTGGGAGCTTGTCTCGGCAAAAACGCGCTGTCAGTGGCCAGACTGGCAGCTGCTGCCTACCTCTTCGACGCTTGACATGTGCTCAGCTGATGCATCGGACAATTGCCGAAGAGTCAAGCTTTCCTGCAAAGGACGGGCAAGTACGACGACTAGCACAAAGCCAACGGCTCACAATTTCCGCGCTGGGATGTACCAACCATGTGCCCACAAGCTGGAAGCATCAAATGCAGTCGAGATGGTCGAGTCACGTGCTGAGGCTTGACCATTTGATTTTTGTAGTCACTGCTTGACCTTCTGATTTCAAGGATCTACCCTTCTTTTGTTAGGCTTTACGCTGCAAAATCAGTCTGGTAAGACTCCGGGACTAGCAGTCCTTCCGAGCCAAGCACACATGGGCAAACACTAGTGAGGCTACCAGCAAATCCTCCGACATCTTGTGGCAAGAAACAAGGCATGCCACCTGCACAGATCGTCTTGTATGGCCTGAGGCGGTGCGCTCAAGATTTTGAAGCCTCACTGGGAAGGCCAATTCCGAATTTTCTGAGCGCTGCACCCCATGCCTGTTGCCATGTCCGCCTCATTGTTTCAAGAAGCTGTGGGCATCCTGATCTGAGGATGCAGCGGGACAACTCGTGAAGATTGTTGACCCCTCGTCATGCACATACCCTGGAAGCAGAACAGGCCGGTTTCGACTGGCGCCCTGAGGGGCGCCTCGTGCGTATGACCCGCTTCAAACAGAGGGCAGTCGTATGGATGTAGCAAACGCCTTTTGGAAGGCAGGTTACACATACAGCTGAGGGGAAGCACCTTCCCGTGTTGTGCTTTCCCGTACTGACATTGGCATCACCTTCTTGCTTTCCAGTGTAGAATGCTTGGGGGATTGTCGCAATGGGCTCGCTTGTCTGGCTCGCCTTTGGGCTCCACGCTTTAGAGGCATTGGACATGATGTAAGAAGATCCGGTAGGAACGAGTCCCCCAAGCTGTCACGTGTTGATGGACGACGCGTGCGGGAAAGAGGGCTGGGCAGCTTGACTTGGTTTTGCTTCAGGGAGTGGTATCTCAGAAGCTGACATATGGCTGTGGGTCAAAACCAATGGTACCATTTTGGGGTAGGTGCACCACCCACTTTGTTTTTTTTTAGTGGGGATTGGGATGTTCACTGGGGGTACGGGATTTGGATTTTGACCCATGGCCATATGTGCTTGGAACTGTAGCCAGACGTGCGGCAGGTTTGCTGACCCTCTTTGTTCAGCTGCCGCTGGCAGCCTGGATACTTCTTCCAGACGCTTGCCAGGAGCCGTGGTCCTACTTTCGCACTGGTCCTACCTGAAATTTGCCCTTTGACCCACACCGCACGCCACGCACCCGTTTGATGGTGGGGGGTATAGCTCAGATTGCCACAGGCAGAATGCGTCTAAGGTTGGATGGGGGCGGTCTTCCAAAGTCAGTTGAGCCACAATCAAAACCCGGGTAGATGAAGGTTAGTCAGGGATACTCCCAGCCATAAAATAGCTGCGGATATCCGCCTTCTTGATTCTTTACATGGTTCTGGGTAGACCATTTTAATAGCCGGGTCTTGATTATGACTCAAGCTTTCCAGTCCATTCTTCTTCATGGCCCTGGGCCCCAGACGAAAACGTGAGCGCTCGGCGCAAGGGCGCATGGAGGTTCAGCCGAAGCTGTGTGGCCGGCATCGAGCGTAAACCTCTGAGCGATGTTTTGATATGTTACAACCCATCCTCTTTGAGTTAGGGGTGCTTTGTCAAGTTTCACAAAGCACATGTTTCACTTCCCATGCTCCCAACCTTCAAAAGACCCTCTGAGTTCAAGTGTTTGTGGCTCAAAAATGAACGGCATGGGTTTTTTACTGTCAACCTCGGATGAATAAACCCTTGGTTGAATAGGGGGTTCAGATCCCTTTTGGAGGGAGCACCCCCCAAATGGGACGTGCCGTGCTTGGAGCCGCAGCTCCGATCCGATCCGATCGGAAGGAGCTGGGCCACCGGTTCGGGGAGCGGCTGCCGCTGCTGGCTGGCGCCTTGTCCTTGCGCTACATGGCGCTGCAGGCGGGGATCCGAACAGCCGACTCGCGTGAGCTGGGTGCGGCGCAGATCCTTTTCTCAATGTTCCGGGCGACGGTGCGGCGCATATCTCTTTCTCTTTTCCCATGTTGTGTGGCTTGTGCCTTACACATGCGACAGGAAGCAACTTTGGTGGCCAATTTGGGCGGGTTTGAGTTTCCATCGCCCTGTTTGCCCTCCAGAGGCAGTGGACCCGCAGTCTTCGGCAGCCACGCTGCTGTGGGGCGGGGCGGCGCTCTTCGGGTTGTTCGCGCCGCGGCAAAGGAAATCGGCCGGAGCGAGAGGCGGTCGAAGGCGAATTGTTCGGTCCCAAAGTGGCAGGGAAACGCTGCCAGAAGCCTGGGAATGGGACATCTCAGGTTCTGGACTCTTGAAGTGGCATGTGAAAGTGGGGGAAACGCTGAAAATGGCCATGGTTTGGTTTTGCTTTGAATCACATTGCAAGGGGATCTCCGGATCCCTGATTGGACTGGATGCACCAGAAAGCTCATGACCTCGTCCCGACTCCCAGGGCCCAAGTCAACCGCCTTTGGATTCGGCACAGCCACTCTGCAAGGCCACATGCCCATATTAGTCTTGTGGTGGGGGATGTCAACTTTGTATAGGTTTATTGTTCGCAGCGTATCATTGGGAGATCAACAAGGATAGAAGAAAATATACTATAGCTGGCCGCCAGAAAAACAAAAAACAACAAGCAAAAACGTTTGTGTACAGTTAAGGCTTGGGCATCCAACATTTTGATTCAGAGTTTGCTTCTCGAAAGCATCTCTCAGGCCGTCACGCCTCGATCTGTTTGGAAGATGCTCCGTGATCTCTGCGAAAGGATCGGCAAGGCACGCTGCGGTTTTCCGGGCTGAGCTCCATATTTCCAGAAAATCGAGCATTGACCATATTTGACAAGGCTTTCCTCCCTGAATCAGAGAAAACCGCTGCACACCAGCGCACTTGAATACTTTGGCAGGCGTAAGCCACAGCTTGGCAGCTTTGCAGAGGTCTGTGGGTTGTTCTCTTTGTTACACTCATACGTTTGTTGGCATGTTTGCAAGTGAAAGCCCCACCAAGCTGTCACGAAACAGCAAAGATGTGCGGCTTCAGACTGCAAGTGTGGCAAGTATGTTTCGGATCACAATTTGAGATGATGACCTGTGGCCCCACTTTCTCTGTGGCATCTGGTACAGATTGCAAACGTCAATATCTCGCAGACAGGTGCTGAAATATGCCTGCAGCTCCATCTATGCCGTGGTCACCTACGTCCTTCCAAAGATCATCGCGGCGGTGACGCTCGAAGCACTTCGGGGCCTTCACTAGTGCAAAAAGACGTACACTTAGCCCCAGCTTGTCAAAGCAGTTTTCAGCCATCGGATGGAAGTGATTCGGACAATTGCGATTGGCTGTTGGGTTTAGGGTTTAGAGTTTAGGGTAGGATTTGGTTGATTGGGTGTTGGGCTGTTGGGCTGTGTTGGGTTCGGTTGTTGGGTTGTGGGGCTGTCTGGTGGGCTAACAGTGCTGAGTCTTTGTTTTCGCGAGCTGGAGCCTGGCAAGATAGCTGAGCTTCGCACCATCGGCCGTAACTAATAGACTAAGCCCATTTCTAGACGGTCTTTGAGGGAAGCCAGGGGTCCCCTAACAATGAGCCACCCAGATCACTCCGGGTTGCTTCAGATCGGGTTCTAAAGGTCCACCTGAGAACCGGAAGGGGATTCCCTTCAAGCAACCCATGGGGGATGGTTTATATGGGCTGCTTCCCTGCTTCCCTGCTGAAAGCCAGCAAGTCTTGAAATGGAAATCTGGAACCTTCAAGGGACCTTCGTAACCTCGTGGTACCCCCGAATCGGCGAAACCCTTTGTTTTACCGGGGTAAATGGACTTAGTAATGGCTTAAACATGGGAAACCAGACGGGCACGGTTCATCCGTACAATCAGCCTTTGATCTTAAAAATGCCACGCGGGCAACCCAAGCCTCTCCTCCTCCCCAAGGCCACCATTCTGAGCTTTCAACCAACTCATGTGGGTGTGGGTCAAAATTAAACCACCAGGGGACCACAGGTTTTAGTCATCGTTTCCATTTACCAGGGTGCCATTTTGGGTACCTCTTTTTGTGGGCCCACCAGAAACCTGACTCGAACTCTGGAAGCCGTCTCGCTCGACTCCTGCGGGTCAGCCAGAAACCAACGCCGAGATTCTCGCAGAATCATCAGCCTGGGGCATATTTTTTCCCCAAACGCGGGGGCCAGGGTGCGCTGACCGAAAGGTCCGGTTCGCCAAAAAGAATGTGTGGCATAGAGCGAGAGAGAGGGCGAAGCCTCAGTGACTTCAGGGCTCCAGCATCTAGGGCTTGGTCCATCTCTGATCTGTCCAAAGAGAAAATGGGTGTGTCTTTTTTCGAGGGTACTTACAGGGAAACCAAAAGGAAGACCACCATTTTGGGGGTTGCAACCTTAAAAAGACGAGAGGGGATTCTATGAATTCTATGGCTGTTGCTTTGCGCACTTCAGGAGAGCAGTCCTTCAGCATCCGTTTACACTACGCTTCTATCGCGCCCATGCCTCAGTGCCAACTCCCTTGCCCGCATCAAAGCGTTTGTCCACCTGTGGATGGTTTGCTAAGGCAGCCAGGGAACCGTTACCAGCGATGCTATGCCATTGTTTCGCATCAAGCTGCAGGAAAGCAGCATCTATGGGAGACTTGCGCATTTACTGGCTTGTTCATTTTTTTGAGAGGGTCCTGCTCGCGGCACACAGGGAAAAGTGCATATCATGAAACGCAACGGACCAAGATGCTTAGAGGCTGAAGCTCTAGGATTGCTTGGGCGAGTTAGGCCTTCCAACAGAGTGGGGCTCATGCTGCAGGTCATTGTGGTGCCGCTTTGGACACTCATCAGCCCGCTCTTCCTGCCAGCAGCCACCTTTGCCATTGGTGTCTCCTGTGCCTCGTCATCCCCCGCAATTAATTAAGCAAAGGTATAGCAGACTGTCCTGGAAAGCCTGGTAGACTTCAGTTGTTTGTGGGTTATTGCAAGACAGGACACGGGTGTTTTGCAATTGCGGAACCTGCTGCTTGCGTGGTGGTATCCTTTTGGCTTTTTGTTGGACACCATCTCAAGGGAGGATGCCCCTCACTGGTGTGTATGTGTGTGTGTGCGTGTGTGCAAGACATGTCAGGAGAGCAGTCCTATGTCTCAGAGAAGCCGGTTAATAAATTCTTGATATGTTTCCCTCGGACGGCAAAAGAGATGGGAAGCATCCACGTCAATCAATTGGGCAGGCTAGGCTTGCCTTTCAGTTGCTTCAAGGATTCCAGGCTGGGAGTTGCCTTTAGTCTGTGATGCCCACGCCTCTTCGGAAAGCTTTAAGTCTGATTTCAGCGTAAGGCATGGGAGCAGGCCCGGCACTGGACCAAGGGATGATGTTCGCATTTTTGCCTCGGGAAACCAAAAGGACCGAAAGCTTCGGGCAGCGAGGCTTGCGAAGCCTGGCGGCTCGCGAGGCCGCGGGCCTTGATGCAGCGCCTTGGTCGCGAAGCCGATAGAGTGGTGTCCTTCCAGGGGCAACTTGATAAGCATGGTATCTTTTCTTGGGGCCCAATGGTTGGTTTCCCTTTTGAACCCTCCAAAAGACATCATATTCCCTCCCCCCCCCAAGAAGGAGAATTCTCGAACAGTCAGGTTAATGGGCCTGGAATTGAGAACTTCTCAGAGGCCTGTGCGGTCGTGAACAGTGAAACCACCATAATATCCCCGTTAAGCCTGTCCTGCAGATGGGGTCAGATAGTGACAGGACACTCACATGTAAGTTTGCCTTTAAGGGGAACTTGAAACGGGTTGTTTTCCATTGGTGGCCTTTGAAACTGACCGACCCAAAAATAAGTTCCAAAGTACCCTCAAAAGAATTGCCAACAAACTGAATTTACTATGGCTGGGGAAGCAAGCGCCTGTTCCCAGGCCCTCGTTGGTCCTTTTTCGCGGAGGCTTCCTTGAACATCAACCAACCAAAAGAACAATGCCCTCAAAAAGAGTCTAGGCTTTCGGAATTTCGCCTACCGCCCTGGGCTCAAGCCGTTTTTTCTTTTGTTACTGCCTCGCACGTTCTGAAGCGACGAACTGGACATTCTTGTTTGTGAATTATTGGGAATGGCAGACCTGTACCAACCATTAGAATCCATCCAAAGCGCCCCCTTTCTAAACACAAATGATTGGTTTACTGTGAAAAAGAAGAAGGGTACGGAAACCCGTTTTGCAGTGCCATTCCATTCTGGCGGAATCAAGAAGTCCCAATCTCCAACTACTTTCCGGAGCCACAATCAAAACCCAAGTACAGGAAAAGTAAGTGACAGTCGTCAGACTTAGTTGCGACCATTGTGCCCATTTTGTTGCAGTACTGTAGGTCCCTTTACGTGCTCTTGCTCAGTAGGGAATGACCCGGGGTGTTGGGATGAACCTAGGGACTCCCTTTAAAGGAAACCATAGGGGATGGTTTGTAGGGGTCATTCCATTTCTCCTTCCCTGAAAACCAGCTATAGCAGGGGTTGATTCCTTTTCCATTCTTTTCAACCATTGTTTTTTTCAACAACCGGCTGTTTCCCCCGGGTTTTTGATGGTTTCCTGGAAAGAAAAACGGATCCCTGGAAAGAATGGAAATGGAAGGTACCCCTGCAGTACCAATCGGTTTAACCGATGGCTCAGGCTCAGGTGGCTTTGCTCTTGGGCCAAGCCTTCAGTGGCTCCGCCGCCATGCTCTCGGGCTTCATCCTGTCGCTGAACCTGTGGTCCCGCTGTGGCCGGAGGTGGGCGGAGGTGGCATGCTTGCCTTTGCTCGTTCTTGGCTCCGAGCCGCCAACGGCCCCCAACAAGTTGCGGGTTTCACGGATTTATGTTGAGATTGGTGGTTTTGCAGCTAGGGAAGAGGACGCTTCTCAGGATTTCTTCGAAACGGCCATTTCAACACTCCCGGCCAAGAACAAGCAAATCTTTATGGGTCGCTCGGGTCAACCCCTCACAGTGGTGTGTGTGGCAGAGCGTGGGCTCGATCCGCCATTTTTGCGAACTTGTCCGGAGGTTAATTATTTAAATTCCTGGTGAGCATGTTTGTTCCCTTGCTTTGCTGCTTTGAACCGGCGCAGCACGATGCAATTTGCAGAACGGCTCTCAGCTGCATCTCACGCCGAAGCCTCCCCTGAGGCGCCAGCCAGATCCACTTCGATGGGCTCCGGCGAGGTATATGCCACTTGAGCGAGAGAAGTCACAGCAGCGCGGGGTCTACGTGGTTTTTTTCGGAGGTAAGGCCCAAGCCTACGAGTTAGCGCCGAAAAGCTTTGGCTAAGCAAAACCAGCGGCTCTAAGAGGTTTTGTGGGCATTGTTGGTAGAACCCAGCGTCAATTTTGGGCACCCTGTGAATTGGGCACTCACCTGTGATGAAAATTTCGAGGGGAATCCGGGAGCGTGAGCACCATGTGTTGGCAACAAGCGATATTTGGAGTTCCTATGTCGGCGAATGAGAACTACCGGGTCCTTGCGGATTTTGGTCACGCTCAATGAATGATGCCTTTTGCCAGCATGATATTACGTGTGGCCTTGCCTGTACGTTTTTTGGCCGTGCAGTTGTTGACGTGGCTGCGGCAGAATCGACTTGAAGGAAGACAAGTAATTACTACATCAAGCAGTGGAAAGAGTTCTATGGCTCACTTTCATCTTGCCAGCCACGTCCCAACTCCCAGCTTCAGTCCACAAAGCTTGAAGCCTGTCTATAGATTAACTCTGAGGTCAGATGTAGCTCTGTGAAGTTGCATGGTGCGGATGTTTGATTCACTGCAGGTTGATGGTATGTGCCTCCATCACAGCCGGTCCAGTCGGACTCCTGCGCAGAGTCCTATCCAGCATCCGCCGGAACATCCTCATGCCATTGACAGACACTTGGAAAGAGAACTCCCCTGGCGACATGGCTTGCCTGGTGCCAGAAAGGATTGTCCCGTTTGGGACACGTGCTTTTGAGTGATTGTTTTTGGGGTTGCAGCTTTGGGCTGGTTTGATTGACCCCGCCTGGATGAGTGAGTCTGCTCCGCCCGCCAGATGGCAAGATTCCATTCCATTGCAAGACCATCAAAGCTGCAACCAAGGTCAATTGGAGGCACGGGAGACATCTTCCCACCACATCTATTTCTGTTTCAATAGCCCTGCGTGGTGGGATCCATTGGTGCGACAGCACGTGTCCAACTGCTGGAATCGAAAGAAGGCCTTCTTGCAATCGCCATCTCTTGGATATGTTCTATTCTCTTTTTGTTAGGCACTTCAATTGGACCACTTGAGCAACAGCCACAAGCTTTCACGGTCTCTTGCTTCCATGATGGTCTCGGTCTTCCCACGGTGCTGTTCATAGTTTGGGAAGAGCCCGCAGCGAATGCTGCCTGATTTTGCTTGTGGTGTCGTGGTCTTGTGATGTGACCAAGGAGTTTAGGAGTTTTCTCGTACAGTACATCTCTAGGGGTAACTTCCCCATTCTTTCCAGGGATCCTTCTTTCTAGAAAACCACCAAAAACCCTGGGGAAATGGCTGGTTTTTGAAAAGAACGATGGCTGAAAAGAATGGGGAACCAACCTCTAGAACATCGCTTAGTGGGCAAACCTTCCCAACCCATGTGCAGACTGATTTTTGACGGCCAGCATAAGGGTTCAGCTCCCAAAGCAAGCTTCTGGATAGCGTTGTCTGGGGATATCGCGGTGCAGGCTTGCTTCATCCTTCTTCAACTGCTTCCAAAAAGGAAACCACCACTTCAACCATGGTATTGTTGCCGCCTGACGCTGATACTTGCAGCCTGTCAGTCGCAGAGGTCTGTGCCAATCATACACTCTGCACGGCAGAAGGTGATATGAATACAAGAATAAGTTGAGCAGCTGCTCCATTTGTAACGTCGTCCCAGCAGAGCAGGAACAATGTTTGTCTTCTGGCTGCTCGCTGTCGGTGTAGCAACGGCGATAACAGTGAATTCATGTCTTCGGACTGAGCCAGATGTCAGCGCAAGAGCGGAGGACACATGCTTGAAGCCCAGACTGTTCAAAACATTATGTGCGTGTCACAATCAGCTTGACTCAGAGTCATGCTTCCATACTGCATCCTGGCTCTGTTGGAATTCCAGCTGTTCACTCAAGCGGTCACAGAAAACCCAGTCTGAACCATGCGTGATTTCCCCACGTGTTTTTTTTGGCAACACAAATCACCTTTTCCCCGGCATAGCTGAGGAGGTCTTCTTCTACATCATGGACTCCCTGTTTCGTTTCGCCGTGAAGGCCCCGGTGATCTCAATCCCTCTGGTGCTGCTCTTTAACGTCATGAGCGTCCGAAGCTTGGCCTCGGAGAGAGACAGACGGAAATCAGTTTTCGATGGGAGCAATTGATGAGTCAGGTTGGCGGTTTGGGGAAGAAATTGATGATTCAGATGGGTGGTTTGGGGACTTGAACCCTGGTTTCTTACAGGGTAGAGGGGAAAAAAACACCCGAACCACCAAGCTGGGGATTTGAACGGTAAATGGGAACCCCTAACATAAACACCAATCCAAACCATCAAAAGGGAAGCTAATGGCTTGGAATGGAAAGATTCAAAAGAGCTCCTTTTGACTAGCATGACATCATGGGACAGTTTGTGCACAGATTGGCATGGCATGGTGCGGATTCGCCCATCGCAAGAATGAAGGTCCCTCCCCACGAATAGTCAATAATATTGGAAAGGCATATTGTGCGTTATTCGGAACAACTTCGGCTTTACGCACCCTGCGAATGTCCAGTCCGGTCCTTTTTCGCCCTCGGTCCTCTTCACCGCTCGTGATGCGGTCCGCCTTTTCGTGATTTCCACGAGCAAGGAATTGGAATCTCAACCGCGGTCAGTGTCATTTGTGCAGAGTATTGCTTTGGAATGGGCCTGTTCTAAGTTTATATTTGTCTTTTTCCTTTTTGAAAAGAAGACGATGTAGTATGGACCCTTATTCGAAAGTCAGGATTGAGAAGCTTTGCCAATCATAGCTGCCGGGCCTGCAGGACCAAGCTGGAAAGATACTGAGTCGTGTTCGAATTCGGAATGGGCCGAACATACAGTTTTTTTTGTTCTTCTTATTTTTTCTCCTTTTGTTCTGGTTTTTCTCCTTTTTCTTTTTTCCATGCTTCCATTCATTCGTGGGGAGCGCTCTGATTGGAGGACTCCAAACCCATCCCCTTGAAGGTTTTCTTGATCACCCATTCCTTGATGTTGCGGGGAGAAAAGCAGGACGTCCGGCATGAGTAGCTTGAAGACCGAAGTATTGGCACCTGACGATTGCTCAAAGAAAGTGTAGTGGTTCTTCATGGATTCCCGTCTGTTGGGTGAGTGTTCGGACGCTGCCGAGGATTTATTTCAACCTCCAGCACCGTTTTGGAGAGTGTGGGATACGCCGCTGTCTCAGCCAAGCCAGGGAGCCCAACGCGTCGACTCAGTGGAGCCGATCGCCATGTGAGTAGCAAGCATAGCTTTAGATTCCATCCTGGAGTTGGCAGAGAGAGCACTGCCCCTTAAGCATTCACGTGTTCGCTGAGCCCAGGGGACATGAGCTGAAGCAAGTCTCGGTGAGTGTACCAGCCAGTCCGCCTCAATCCCTGTAGCATTTTGGGCGCACGGACACATGTTTCATTCTTGCTTATTGTGGCTTAGTGGTTGAATTCCAAATCCACTTAACTGCTAAAACTCAAATTTTTGCTCCCCTTCCAGGGTCAACTAGGTTTGTCCGCGCCAGGTCCTTAGCCAAACGCGGCTCATTGGAAGTCTGCTGGAAGCCGCGGCGAAGATGCCCGAAGGCCAGGGAGCGGGCTGTGGGTCAAAACTATTGGTACCATTTTGGGGTAGGTGCACCACCCATTTTAGTCTAGTTTAGTGGGGATTGGGATGTTCACTCAGAGTACGGGATTTTGACTCATGGCCAGATGGGAGGTGAGGTATTCAAAGCCACAAGCAGCTACAAGCGCAAAGAGGCAGTACATGACACAAGTGCTGACATGTACATGAAGACTGGACAATGTTTGTTCTCCGGAGTTGCAGAGTGCGGTGCTCAAGCATTCACCTGCAACATGAAGAAGGACCCGAACTTGGTTTGGCCATAATTTGTTTATCGGTTGGTTTCACCATTTGGGCCTCTCATTTGAGGGGTTTCACCGGCCAGGTGTCGCCACAGACTCGACGCTGGCTGTCCTCCTCATCTCTCTGGTGCAGGCTACGGTTGTGTCGTGGCTGGGAGCGGGTGCAACAGCCCAAGGGTGGAGTCAGTGGAGCCCAAAGCCAGTTGGCCATGGTTCAAAAATGATGGTACCATTTGGGATAGGTGCACCGCCCACTTTAGTCCATTTTAGTGGGGATCGGGATGTTCACTCGGGGGTACGGGGTTTTGACCCACGGCCAGTTGATTGTGGTTGGTACAACCCCAAAGTCCAGAAGAAACAGGCCGAGCTACTGAAATAAAACCGTCTTGTGCATGGATGTGGAGGTGTCAAACCATCCGCCAGGTGGGCGCCTATTCCATGGTGGACGGGGTCCTCGCAGTGCTCAGGGTGAACCGAGGCGCTTGGGCTCTAAGGGCAGAGTTCCACATCCGGTCACTGGGATCTTTTGAATTTAAATGTTTGGTCGGGGCAAAGGCTGGGTTAGGTCCTGGGAAGTCACATGATATCAGAATTCGATAGCCAGGGCGCCGCGCGGATGGCAACCGAACCCGTGCCACTTAGAAGGTGCCAACATGTACCCGCAGCTGTCGTGTCGCAGTTCAAAGACCTCCTCGGGCTTCAACAATCCATGCAATAGTTGCGGCATTCCTTTGCCCTTGTTCCCCTGCCTGATGAAGGACCGGCGGCTTGAGCGCGCCCTGAACAACATCATGCCTCCCGCGATCAAACAGGTTTTCTATATAGCTGTATGCCGTGAGCGTCTTGCACAAGCAACGGCTGCCCCTGCATAGCGGGGGTGTGGTCCCAGGAACATCGTGGAACGGTCTCAGCCATGCGGCCATTGCAGGAAATTCAACAGCTGAGTAAGAATTTGCAAATTGACGCGAGCATGACGTGAACTTAATGTGTGCAGCTTCAGCCACGTCGGCTGCCAAAAAGACAATAGGACTCCAGTGCTCCTAGACTGGAATTTTCCGGCTGCAAGAGCCAAGCAGCGACAGGTGACGCTCAAGTCAGGGGAAGAAATCCAGGCACAGGGTTTTGCTTCCAATTGAGCATCTCTGAAAGCCCGCCTTATCTCAAGCAAGAGTTGTGTCATAGGAAGCCTCTGCGCAAGCAAAACCCCAGGCGAATCCTCTGCTTCGGGGCCGCAGGCGTGTAAGGTTCGCGTGAGCTCGCTTGGCACGGCTGCTCACTTGCAGACCAGCTATGATATGTTTGAAGCTCCTGCCCTGTTTTGATTCTCAGCGTCATCCACACCATCAACAGAGCGAAAGCTCGGTCACGTAAGCACACCTCTACGACAGGGACTCATGCTGCTTTTGCACAGCAGCTCAATTGGCATTGTCTCTGAACACGGCCCTTTTGGGTAGTGTCCCTTGAAAACCCCACTTTCAAGCACAAAGCGCTAGCCTCACAAGAACAGAACAGTACACGGTACATGAAAGGTTGGGTTTTTCAAAGGACACCACCCAAAATGGCCACTCACACTGTTCAGAGATGCCAATAGAGCTGCTCTGAAAAAGCAGTCCTTTGAAAAAGCCCAACCTTTCATGTACTGTGTTCTGTTCGTCCGCTGAAGACTCCGCTGAGGCGCTAGCCATGCCCTGAGCATCGAAGAGCTCAACAACGCCGCAGCCCTCATGGACAACCCTCGCCAGTGCGGGCGCTGCGGCCTGGGACCGATAGACCACCGAGGCCGGGGGCCTGGGGAACGAAGAGACGGACCTAAGGTCATCTATTTGCTGAAGTGTTTTTTTCTTTCCCCCTGTTGGTTTTTGGAGGGAATCTATCACTACTGAAAATATGTTTGTTTTTTCCAGGGGGCTTAAGCAAATGGAAGAGGTTGACCCCGGATGAATCAACCCTGGGTGTCCCTGGGTTTAGTGTGGATCTATGTCTAGGGAAGCCTCGCTTTTGGATGGTTTCAGAGAATAAGACCTGTAGGCGGCATTCTGCTTGGAATCCAACTATCTTGTTTCTGTAATTCGTCTTTCGAGCTGTGAGTTTTTCTGTTAACTGTTCTGGCTTTTTATGATATGATTGTGACCCATTACATTGTGGAAGCTATTGTGTTTGGTTTGTTCCCACCAGCGACAGCTATGACCTCTTAGCCGGTCCCGTGTCATGATGGGGGAAGGGGGGCAGGTTGCAGGAGTGGTTCTAGGAGTGTTTCGAAGCAGGTTCCGAAGAGGTTCAGGCAATTTGTTGGCCGATACTCTGCCCCGATACTCTGCGGGCCGATACACTGCAAGCCAGCTCAGGTTTCACATTCACCATATGTCCAAATTGACCAGTTCTTCCGAGAGCAAGTAGTGAACGTTTGCAGCAGGTTTTTCCTGCCTTGCTGGCATGACATTGTAGATGGGCTGGAGCGCTCCAGCGGTGATCATAGAGCAAATCATGATCAGTCATTCTTGTCAAGCAGAAGTGGAGCTCGACAAATGCTGCAGGTGCATGGCCCCTCCTACTCCTCCCCATGTTCCACCCGCCCACAAGTAACATATCCTTCGAGTTTCTAGGAGGCTCCTGAGGTTGCGCCTATTGCACAAGGACCCGTGGCATGATGAGGAAGGCCAGGATTTTAGCTTGGAGTACGCAGCTTGGAGTACCATCAAGCCTATTTTGCCAGCAGCCCTTGCATCGTCAACAGTTGGAGCCCATGATGATCGCAAATTCCGATGCGCCGGATCACATTGTCGCAAGCTGCGCTTTCTGCCCTTTTTCTGTACTCTATGTTCTCACGCTAGGTGCATGAGCCCCTGCGCTTTTGCGGATCTCGGTCAAGTCAAGGGGACGCGGAGCATCACGGAGCGCGCAGCAAGGAATGGACGTTGAGAAGGGCATGCCGATGCGCAGAAGTCGTGGCAGCATCCCAGGCCCATCAGTCGATGTGATCATTGCTGCAAATTCCTCAAACAATTGAGGGAGGTTGTGACAATGCTCATGATCCTGATCGCTTTCCTTGGAACTGCGATTGACTTGTGGATCGCTGTCCCCGTTGCCAAGATGGATTTCTCGGCGAGCGAAGTCATTGTCGCGCGTCACCTATTCGATTGCCTTGGGCCATTGAGGGGCCGATGCTCAAGACTGGCCTAATGTCCAGGAACGAGACGGCGCACTATGTGGCTCACGGCGCCTGCCTTGGTGATGATGCGCCAATAATAATTGCCAAGCGCAGGACTTCTTTTTTGTGCTCAAAAGGGGCTTCGGTGCATAGATCATGCCCCATGTACAACGGAGGTACCTGTTGACACTCCTCCCATGCGGTTTTGGTTACGACACCGCATGTTTCTCAAAACGCGGCTTCAAGCCCCTCACTTCATGCCGTCCTGCAGTAGCCACAGAGGGTGATGCGCACCGGATCGCCCCCCGCGCAGCATGGTAGTGACCCAGCCCCCGGTAGAAGACGGGTCCCGGAAGGCTAGTCACCAACCTCCTGAAGTCCGGGGTGCAGCACCTTGGGCACGGAAGCATCTCGTGAATCCGCGTGGCGTTCTGCAGCCCATAGCACTCCATGAAGGTGTGGTACCTTTCTCCATGGTCGGTCCTAAACAAAATCGGCACCGTAGGCAGGTCTCCGTCTCCTGGCAAGACCTCCTCAGCCTCCGGCTCCGGCTCCAACTGCTGTCTCGGTCTCTGACTCGCAGTGACCACTCGCCCCTTTCCGTATCCCTTACGCTTGGGCATCGGCTTGGGCGTGGCTCCCAAGCGCCTGCTCCCTCCACCTCCGGTAGAAGATGCACTTTGTGGCGTATTTCCTCCTTCGCCCCATGACGTACTCCTGGACGTAGGTCCACCTCCGGTAGAAGACGCACCCCGCCTGATCTCATGGCTCTGATCCCGGGCATGACCGCCCTCTGGCAGACCAGCTCGCTTACCACCGTCATCAGGACCTTCAAGGTGTCCGCCGGCTCTTCCTCTCCATCAGCTTCCACCTTCTCCTTCACCGCCTGGACTTTCGTAATCATGCTCGCGAGGGTCATCACCTTGACCATGGCCGTCATGCTCTCCAGGTCTCCATGACCGTTCGCCTCCTTGGTGTTTTCCTGACCGGCTCTGATTTCTTCCACGACTTCCTCCAAAGGCTCTAGCCTCCATAGTCGACGCAAATCATCTATGCGTCTTCCAGTGAGGGCCTTGGTCCTGAGGTCCGCGAGCATCGTTTCCCCCATCACGTGGTGGATGGACCAGCTCTCATCCATGAGCCTCCACCTCAAATTGAACGCTCTGAACCGCAAATGCCTCGTTCTCCAGTTCCCGCCAGCCTCCGAAGTGATAGCTGTGGCCGCCGAGCTGTCGGATCGCAGCTGCCTCTTGTACGTGCTCAATCTCCGAAATCAGAGCTTCCACGCTCTCGCCCATGATGATGCCCTCCAAGCACTCCATGAGCTCCGCCTCTCCGGTTGACAACGTGGGGCTGCTTTGCCTCGAGCTCTTCCACGCCAGCGGGGCGCCATTCCAAAGCACCACCACCGATCCATGGCTTAATTCACCTCCTGGAGCGAATGACGCATCCGTGTAGACCTCCATCTTCCGCTCAGCAATTTTGTAGCTTCCGCGTTCATCTCCCGGTCGAACCACAGGCCCATATCTATGGCCTTCAGGAGGTACTTCCTGACCTGTGCTGCTATCTCCAATGCCCGCTCTCGTCACTGCCGACGACATCCTGCTCGTCGCAAACATGAGGTCGGGCCTTGTCTTCGTAGTCAGCCACAACACTTCTCCCACAGCCTTCTGTGCGGCTTGTACCTCATGCGGTAAGATGTTCGGCTCCTCGGGCATCTCCGTCATGTCCTTTGCGATAGGGATCACCGACCCATAGCCACCGTCCTTATATCGACTGAGAAGCTCCTTCGTGTAGGACGACTGCCCCAGGTGATACCCACGTTCTGTCCGGCTTATATCCATGCCGCAGAACCTCACCTTCTCTCCCTTCTTGACGAACTCCGGGACGCTCGTCTCCCACTTCCGCTGGATCACCTTGCACAGCTCTCGTAGGATTCCTCCTGCCGAGTAGGCCAAGATGTCGTCCACATAGATCGCCATCAGATTCATGAGCTCGCCGTGTTCGTCCTCCCAGTCTCTTCCCTTCATTATCTTCCAGACATTGGGATCCGAGACCGTCTGAGCCATCCAGTAGCAACCACCTCCTTCTTCCCATCTCATTTCTCGCATGTTCTGATCCCGAAAGACTGACCACCTCCTTGGCGATTGGCGAAGTCCATACAGGGCCTTGTCCACCGCCCAGTACTCATCCTTCTTGCACAAGCCCAGGGGGTGAGGATGGACGGAGGTTTCATCAGCAGTATCTTCTTCGGCTCACCCTCCGTCTCCTTCTCCTGTAGCGGAGCATTGAGGAAGGCGGTCTTGATATCCAGGACCATTGCCTCCCAATCTTGCTCGGCCGCGTACTTCGTGATCGTCCTGATGGAGATCGTGTCCGATCCCCCAGCATACAGCGACTCGTCGGAGTCCTTACCTCCTCCCTCCGCGTAGTTCCCGCAGATCACGATCCTGCACTTCTGCTTACCATTAGGCGCCTTCACCGTAGGAACCATCTTGCCAGGCATAATGTCCACCTTGTAGTCCGGGCTCCCAAGAAGTACCCGCGCCTCCTTGTTCGTGACTCTCGTCACTGCTTGCTTTCCATCCAGGAGCGAGTCAACCTCGGCTTTGATCGCCGGCAGCCACTCCTCTTTGTTCTTGATCACCTCCGCGTGACTGGCGATCCGGGTCTGGAGAACCTGCTTCTCTTCTTCACCCATCACTTCCTCCACCAGAGCCTCCTCTGCCAACTTCATCTCCTTGATCTTGACCGCCGTGATTCCCAAGACCTCACCACCGTCCTGGTCCATGGCTTCCGTCTCCTCTTCGATAACCGCCCGAAGCGTGCAGAGGTCGCCGAGCTCCTTGTCCCTTTCTTCTCCCACATTGGTTTTTCCCCTGATCCTTCGCCGCGGATGATGCGGTTCGGCCTCCCCCGGTAGTAGTCGATCTTCCGGTTCCACCACTCCTCTCACTATCCGGGAGACCACCTCAATCTTGCCGTCTTCCCGCAAGATTCCATGTGACCTCCTTAACCACGACCAAGTAGCGCGCCTTCTCGTAGGTAGGCCCAAATGCATCCTGAGTTCTCTTCCATGACCTCCTTGGGACCCAGACCTCCTCCCCAAATGCCGCCGGCATCAGCTCGTTCCACTGCCTTTTCTCCTCGGCCACCACCGCATACCGTGCCATTGGCCAAAACTTCACGTCCATCTTCGCTCCCTTCAACAGCCTCCTCATGCGGCTCTTCAGACTGCCGATGCAGGCTTCAGCACAACCGCTTTCTTGAGGCGAGTCCGCACTCGTTGTGGTCTTCTCGATCTCCCTCACCAGGCACCATTTCTTCAGGTCGTGGTTCAGGAACTCCTTTCCCCGGTCAGTGTGCAATCGCTGGACCGGGTATCCTTCTCTCTTCAACTGGATGTAGATGTCCTGCAGCCCCTGAAGCACCGTCTTAGCCTTCTTGTCGGGCAGGGAGACAGCCTTGACGATCAACTTCAGCGGCTTTGGCTCCCCACACTCCCTTTTGGCCCGGTCCTCCAAATCTTCCTCCCGGCCGTCTCCATCTACTTCCCCCTTCTCACATTCCGGGTCGCCCTTTTCCGGGCCACCTTCCGGGTTGTCCAGCTCACCTTTTTCGCACGCTGGATCATCGTCCTCTACTTTCTTCTCCTCCAGACTGGCAAGTCCTCTCCAACTTCCTCCTTCTCTTTGCCGTCGAAGAACTTCTTCTGGTCCTCCTCCGCAGGCCAAGTGAAGGAACCGATGAGGAAGTACTTCTGGGTCGCATCCCCAACGTCCTTTCCAGCCCGGTGTGGGCCACTCAAGTCCGCATTCAAGACCGCCGCGTAGGGATAGGCGATCTTGGCGTGTCGCTTCCCCCTTGCCGACGCTTCCTGACATACTTGGCAGTCCCGACGAAATGGTACATGCCCGTGGCGGACGTGCTCAAACCAGCTTAGCTTCTTGACATGAGATGGTCGTCCAAAGACCTCCTGTTGCAGAGATCGCGCAACCTCTCTCATGAATCCCGGGGCCCATCTTGACAAAGCCGCCGAGTCTGCCACCACCGCCGCCTCTCGGGTAGTTGCCAATGAGGATCCTCGTGGCGGCAAATCCACCTCCAAGTCCGTGACAATGCGCGTCGGCTTCACCGCCAACCCGCCGTAGTCGCCCTGCTTGAAGCTGTGCTCCAGTAGCCCGTGTTGATCTCGGAAGGCCGTGTAATTCTTGGTCCTCCACCATGATCCGCACTCCGGCACGTACCCCGGCGCCTCCGGCTGCTCGAGCAAAAACGCGACCTTCGATCTGGCCGTCGTTGTCATCTTCCTGGCCCTTCGAGCCTCCTCCGCCGCACAGTACAGCATCACCGTGCGGTAGAGAGGCACATCGTCCTCGAAGACCTGCTTCTTCTCCTCCTCGTCCAGCCAAGGAAAGCCAACCCAATTCTCCGGCTCCACCCCCCTCACTGGCCTCGGCCTCCCAGCTGGCAGCGGGTAGTGTCTCAACACGCTCCGAGTCCTGCAGTTGGGACCGCCCACTACTCCAAGGATGTTCCCATCCAGAATCCAGGGCTGCCCTCAAGCGGGAAGGGTACAGGGGGCCATTCAGCATGTCGTGGTTTTCCCCTCTCTTGAGGTCAATCTCCACCAGCCTCGTAATGTCACCCCCAACCTCCTTCAGAGCCCTTTGCAGCGTGTAGCCATCCTTTTCGCCCGCATACAGGTGAAGGATGAACCCCCGCTTCATTATTTTTCTCCTCCTCCGATTCAATGGGATCCCCTTCAGGTCGCTTGCTAGCTCGCTCACGACGCTGGCCATCACCTCGGCTGGTACCCCATCGAACACCCGTTCTCTTCTCGCCAGCGCTTCCATGACGCCCACCTCTCCTCTCGAACTTGCCGAAGATGACCTCAATCTCGCACCTCCCGCAACCTCAACCTGCTCCAGCATGTCGATGAAGCACAATGCTAGGTCACCCAGCGTTCATCCGCACCGGAATTTCCCCCAAGTTAGGATGCTTCATCTGGCAGGCTCCCCAGGAAGTCCAGGTGACCTCACAGTCCAGCTTGTCCACCAAGAGTCTCAAGGCCACTATCGGCTGCGCGCCCGCCTCCTCATGGATGATGACCTTCCCCTGAGTCATCAAGAGCTCCTTTCGCTGGCCTCCGGCCAACTCCACCACTATCGTCTCCATGTCCTTCGCGTCATCCCCTTCTCTCATGGCTTTCATGGCATGAGTCGCCCCCGAATCCAGTAGCTCGTTCCGAAAGTCGATCTTCGAGATGTTGACTTCCCCAAATTTCCAAAGCTTCATCTCATTCAGCTGCTTCTGAAGATCCTCCAACTTGGCGTCCCTGCCTGTCTTGCCCGTCGAGGCCACCGTCAAAGATCTAAGCATCTTCCCGGCTTCCTCCAAGACGTTCTGCAAGGCATCCGCCTCTCCCTTTGCACCCTTCGGCGAGACTTCCTCTTGCCCGCCCAGGCTTTTCTGCACTTCTCCCTTTTCGCATGCCGATGACGTGGCGTTCTCCGTCTCCACCTTTGCGATCTTTGGAGCGCCCGGCTTGAAGTCCTTCTTCGCCGCTTGCTCGGAGGTGACCTTCCTCGAGCAGTCCTTCGCAAAGTGGCTAGCAGCGCCACACACATAGCACCTGGAACGCCCATCTCGGGCCTCATGGCCGAAGGTACATTGTGCTCCCCTCCTGCACCCTTGGTCGGTGAGGAAGAACCGGCAGGGCTTCTTCTCCTTGACGAAGTCCTCCTTACTTCCCTTATCCTCAGCGTAGGTGCCCTCGATCTTCTTCGCCTTTGCCTCTCCCGGGGCGGACTTCTTCTCCGTGTGACTGCTCCAGCTCCGACAAGAGGTGCTCACAATACACGATCGTTGTGTAGGTCGGGACGGTACCCACCTGCAGCTGGGACTTCGCCAGGTTGATCTTGAAGTTCAAATCCCGGTTCCCTTCCAACACCTTCCTCGTCAGCCTGTGAAGGCCTCTGTTCATCACCGAGGGATCAGGGAGCGAAACTCCAATCTCCTCCGCGCGTCTTTTCCACCTCACGTGACCGCGGCCTGGATGTTGGTTGCCTCCCCGGCTGCTCCAGGTTGCGCAGGATTCCCGCCCGCTCTGCTATGCCGCCAGGCTGATACATCATCATCAGCTGGCACACCAAGGAGAAGGCGTTGAGGCTTTTTGTAGCCACCACCACGTCCTTCACAGCGTCTGGAACGGCCTTGATCAGAAGGGTGACCGCCTTGCGCTCCACTCGTCTCCACCTTGAACTTTGCGATTCCCCCACCTTTGGTACCATGGTGAGGCGCTTGAGCGGAGCCTCCTGCATGTAGTCGCCGTACCACCGCTTTGCTTCCTGCAGCACCAGCTCCCACCATTCCTGGCTCGTCTCCGACAAATCTGACATCGCCGGAGTGATCAACGTCAACCAGTCCTCTAAGTCGATGGAGCTGGTTTCCGCATTGAGCTCCGCCAGCATCGGCAACTCCACCGTACCGGCCTTGACCACCTCCACTGCCTCCTCATCAGTGCCCTTAGAGCCACTCGCAAGGAGATTCTTCTGGATCTGCTGCATGCCCTCCATGCGTTTCAGGATGATGGCCAAGTGGTCGCCCTTCTTATCGTCCCGCATCATTTCCTCCGAGGACTCCCGCTTACGGGTCCGGCCCCGACCTTGCCGTTGGGCGGGTCCGGCGTCGTGTAGGTCTCCCCCGAACCGTTTCCCGCCTTCAACTGCCTTCAACCTTTTGTTCTCCTCCGTGTGCCGCTTGATCTCCGACCTCCTGGAGTCCACCCCTCTCGGCCTAGGCCGACCGTCCTCCGCTCCATCCAGAAGCTGAGGCTGCTCCCGGGGCAGGAATTCCGGCCTCAACGGAGGATCTCGCGTCTCCCCCAAGTTCACCAGACCGCCAGGTCGATCCCAGCGCTTCAGATAATCCAGCTGCTCCTGGGTGAAGAGAGGCCCATAGCTCTCCGGCTGACCTGCTGGTCCTTGAAGATCTTGATCGTCTCCTCGTCGTGGTTCAGCCGCTCCTGGTGTCGCCCACGGGTTCCTCGATGCCGTAGACCACAGCCTTCTCTGCACCAGCGACGAATTTGGTGCCTGCTCCTCGGCCGCTTCACGACCTGCTCCATCACCACCCGATCCGACTCCAGCTGGTCGAGCTCTGGTCGCGGCTGACCCTTTTCCACTGCCCGGCGGCCGCACCACTATCTCCTGGCCGATCAACTCCAAACCAGGTGCCGGCTGCACGTTATCCCTCTCCGGGGCAGGTGCCCTCTGCGTTCCCTCCCCCTGCTCCTGTTCTTCTTCATGAGGATCTCCATCCTCCACCGCTAGAGGTTCTCCTTCTCCACCATCGCCTCCAGCTCCTTCTGCGCCCTGAGCTCCTGAGTGAGCATTGCGGCGCCTGGACCTCATGTCCTTGAGCTACTTGGGCTCATAACCTGCCAAGCGCAGGACTTCTTTTTTGTGCTCAAAAAAAACTTTGGTGCATAGATCATGCCCCATGTACAACGGAAGTACCTGTTGACAATAATAATTACAGCTTGTTTGAGAGGACGCCTTTGTGTATGACCGGACAAGGAATCCACTTGACAAGGGTATCCCATCAATCTGTTTAAACTTTTGTTGTAGGCCTTGCTGGCCAGGAGGAAGGTACGGTAGAGTGGTGACACAAGATACCCTACCATTACGGAGCCTCGCGCTTGTGTGGAGGCTCGAATCACTATGTCGTGCGGTTGCATTAGCAGAGAAGCATGCGAGAGCAAGCCAGCTGGCTGAATGGGTGCGAGAAAATGCCTTCGTAGTCCGTCGTGGGCTGTGTTGAGGTTTGCCTTGAGATTTTCTGGGGGGTCCAAGAAGCTTGTGACCTGGCCCCTTTTTGGCCATTCCCGCAGGCTGCTCTAACCTCCGGTCCCACCACGGTGAGCAAGATGGTGGCGGTGTGGTCTCCAATGCCTGCCCCCGACCCTTGGATGTGATATCAACCTGCTACTGTCTCTTCTAGGCTGCCTTTGAAAGTGCGAAACAAAGACTGGAATGATACATATCAACAGTGATACACAAAGAAAAGGTAATGAAGTTGTAGAGAGGTCTTTATACATTCGCACATTACCTACGCACTTTGAGCAGAAGCAATGCTGCTGCCTTTGAGGCTGCGGCTGGTTTGCCCGAACTTTGTCCCAGTGGCCAGTCTGGGACGGCGAGCTGCAGCTGCTTGGCGATCGTTTTTGTGTAGTTTAACCAAAGACGTGGCCGCACATAGACGAGTTGTCAATCTGAAATGATCTGAATGCAAGACACACTTGCGGCATGAAGGATTGCGGCGCAGGCGTTTGACTTCAGTTTTGCTGTCGGGTCATCTCTTCTTGCCTCAGGACGGAGCAGGGACGTGCGATGTACCGACAGCGCACCTGGTGTGAGATAGTCCTGTGCATCAGCGCTTCATCCAAAGCGCTTGTGGTGCCTTACTCCATGCTGCTGCTAGGCAATCGCTTGCAGCCGCTGGGCAAGCACATGCTTATCGCATGGGCGCTTATGTGTGCTTCGCTAGTGGCGGAGCCACCAAGTAGGGATGGGTCCCGACCCGCTCGCAGAGAACCCTCACTTGATGGACCTCCAGGGTTGAGCTTGGTCGTTTTGAGAGAAGGCCAGGTCGGCCCGACCGAATCAGCGTTGTGCAAAGCGCTTCTTTTAAAGAAAGCTGTTGATTACATACCTACACACCGCTGTGTTTCCTGGCTTCTCGATTCTGACTCGAGGAGCAAGTGTGTTTTGAAGCCGTGCCAAGCAGTGCTCCAAATGATTCCAAGGCTGCCATCTACCTTGTCAGCGCTGCTGGCCTTTTCCTACCTCATTCCCTGGGCCGTTGAGAATACGATTCTTGGAAGGAGCAGAGGTTAGCCCTGAAAGTCAGCACACTCGGCGATTGGGCATTCGTGGCTCTAAGTCACTTGGTTTCTCAGGCTGACTTGTACACAGACGGAGGGCGTTCACTCCCACACATACCGTCAGCGGATCTGAGACCCGGAATAAGAATCCTCAGTTGAGAAGCTCGGGTAGCCTTTCCCCCTCAAGTTGCCTTTGTGCTTTGATTTCCCTCAGCGGACAGACGGCTGACAGAAGCAGAGCAAGCAAGATTGGTACCTTTGATGCACCATGATTTACCTGAGAGCGTCCAATCAATAGCAATAGGTTGATGATCACAGAAGCACAAACAGACTAGCAACGTTAATTGTCAGACGTATGCCGTACAGGTCTTGTGTTTGTCTCCGAGGAAACTGTTCCTCGCTTTGTCCACTACATCCTCACATCGCATGGCGAGAGAGCCGATACGGCAGCGGGAGCAGAGAGATGATGCGGACTGTGGCGCAAGATTGACCGAGCCGCAGTTGCCGGACATTACTCAATCGGAGGCGCAGGGTGTTGGGGAATGTGCTGGTTCGAAGGGGATAGTTTGCAAGAGAAGCATGTTGATGCAAGCGAGCCCGATTCACACAGCATGTGTATTGCAAAGCCTGCTTGCATCGCGATACAGCGATACACGTGGCCCCATATATTTAGGAATATCCTGCCTAGGTTTGCTTCCATTCATCTTCTTTCGGCAGCTGCCTTTCAGCGGCGCAAGACTTGGGTGAGCGTTCAGGCGCTGCGGAACATCCTCGCGGCAGAGCCCACGGCAATCTTTCTCAATGAGGCGAGGCCACGTGCTCTGCAAATGGGGGCAGTTTTTTTCATGTGCATCCAAGAAAGAAAACCGCACGAAGGCTGGCCTTCATTCATGAAAGGTGCTGGAAGGAGGGATGCTGGCCCGGCCTTCTTCGGACCCAAAAGCTGTTAGTTGAGTACGAGCCTGGATCGCACACTTGTTTCTCAAGCTGTTTGGCCTTTGGCCTCTGTCATTGCGCCGGTTCCCACCAAGCCACAGCAACGATGAGTAAGGACAGACGACTGAGTGCATAAGTCGAAGGATCCATATAACTTTTCCAGCTTTTCAGCTGCAAAATACGCATGCGTGATTCAACTAGAGGTTCTTAGTAAATAATGTGAGAGGGCAGGTTTGCTTGTGAAATGTCTCTCAGGCTTTCAAGTGTGCACACTCATACATGCATTCCCAGCCAAGATGAACCATCAAAAGTTCCAAGCTGTTCTTCCTTGAACGGAATTCAGGTGCCAGGGGTTGGCACCTGGAAAGGGTAGCGGGAAGATAGATGTCCTCTTGTAGGGATCCCTGTCGGGTGCCATGTTAGAGAGGGTGAGGGTACAGACCATCGCTCGGCGCACGTTCGGCGCCAGGGGGACATTTGCAGCGTTTGCTTGGACAACTTCCCCTGCGCAGCTGCGGCATTGGTGAGCAGCCAAGCCGAGGCTGGTCGTGGAGGTCATCCCAAGGCGACATCCACAAATTGGTTGATTTTCAACATGCCTCAAGATGTGCTTTGCTACGGAGTAATTACTGCTGGTGCCCGTCCCTCATGAAGCAAAGCCAACCATAGGACATGCTGGTGGCGGCACATCTCATTCGTCTCACCTACTTCTCCTAGGAGTATACCTCGGAAGAGAGTTGAGGGAAGCAGTTTTTGTGTGTCCTGCCGTTTGATTGATCTTGCGCCAGACCATGGTGCCGCCAAAGAGCGAAACAGGGTGCGAGGGACAGCAGCAGTGTGTTGCGTTGCAAGCTTAGATTATGTTTGAGGCATTGCTCCAATGCTCCTCCTGACCATCCTTGTGGAAGCAGCAGCAACAATAACAAGAACACGAACACAGCCAAGACCGATAGAACTGATATCAATGTTGACAATAATGGCGTTAGAATAATCAGCACAACAAGAGAAAGAAGAACACTAAGAACAACAAGGACAATCGCAACGTAGAAGAACAATAACAGGATCAAGAACAGCAACCGCAGCAACAGCAAAGCGGAACAGGGCGAACAATCCCGATCACGCTCGCAAGAACAAGAGCAAGAACGACAACAACCAACAACCAACAACCAACAACCAACAACCAACAAGCAACAACCACAACCAACCACCAACAACCAACAACCAACAACCCAACAACAACGGCGGCGACGACGACGACAACAACAGCGACGACGACGACAACAACAGCGACGACGACAACAACAGCGACCACGAAGACCACAACGCCGACAACCACAACATTAGTAACCACCAACCAACCAACCAACCAACCAGGAAAGCGAGCAAGCAACCAACCAACCAAGCAACCAAGCAACCAAGCAATTAACCTACCAACCTACCAACCTACCAACCTACCTACCTACCAACCAACCTACCAACCTACCAACCTACCAACCTACCAACCTACCAACCTACCAACCTACCAACCTACCAACCTACCAACCTACCAACCTACCAACCAACCAACCAACCAACCAACCAACCAACCAACCAACCAACCAACCAACCAACCAACCAACCAACCAACCAACCAACCAACCAACCAACCAACCAACCAACCAACCAACCAACCAACCAACCAACCAACCAACCAACCAACCAACCAACCAACAACAACCAACAACCGACAACCGACAACCAACAACCAACACCAGCAGCCACGGCGGCAACAGCCACAGCCACAACTACAGCCACAGCCACAGCGAAAGCGACAACGGCAACTACATCGACAGGAACAGCGACATGGGCTCACCAGGGTCCAGAAACACTCGAGGGAGGTTCGCTCTGATAAAGACACAAGAGCCTTTCCTTGTTTCACACTTTCACGTCTCAGTGTTCATATTGCCGGTGCGCAGTCCAGCGGCGCGCTTGTCATTCACAAGCGTGTGGGCAGCGTTCAGCGGATGCACTTGAGTGGGTGCACTTTTCATTTGGCTGGCAGTGCTGAGCGGGTGCTCTTGAGCAGGTGGTCTGCTTACATGTTTTGAAGTGATCTCTTCATGCAACAGGGCAGCCTCGGACTGATGGTGCCAAAAGTCAAGAACAAGAACGCGAACACAAACACGAGCAACAAGAGCACAAAGACGAACAAGAACGAGACCAAGAGCAACAAGATGAGCAGCAGCGGCAGAAACAACGGCAAGAAGAGCAAAGACAACAAACGCGACGGCGATGACGGCCATGACGATGGCATCGATGCCGCCAGCAGCGAAACCAAGCAGCAGATGCAGTAACAGCAACACCGACTGCAATATCACGAAGGACAACAGCAACGTTACCAACAACACGAGCCCCACCGACAACAAAAAACGCCGACGGCCACAACACTGACAAGCAGCAGCAAGGACGACAACACCAACAACAGCAGCAGAACACAACAGGCACTGCGATCTTCAGCCAGGCTGAGAGCATCAGCCAGATCTGTCGGGCACTGCGGGAACAGACGCCGCCCATTGTGGCACTCCGCTGCGGGCATGCGCTGCATGTAGAGTGTGAAGCTCGGACAGCACATTGCGCATTTTTCTTTTGTTGCATGTATGATTCCTATTTGTGTTTCCATTCGCCGTTGCCTTGTACCAAGAGCAACTCCGCTGTGCTGCATTTTTTGTGTGAGGGAGCCTTGGCCTAATGCGCAGCACCCCATGGCTTGCCGGCCTAGCTTCCCCAATCCACGTGAAGAATGCTCCAACGGAAGCTGTTCAAAAACAAGATGTCTTCATGAACTCGGCTGCAATGTGTATGGGCATGACACGCGGATTTCCGCTCTGATGGACTCAGATGCCTGGCCAGCACACATTGAAGCATTGCCAGCATGGTAGTCAGCTTCCCAATCTTTCGCATGGAGCTGTTGATCCTTATTCTGTATTTGTCTGTCATATTGTGTTTGTGATCGTGGTCATAGAGAGAGAGAGAGAGAGCGCGAAAGAGAGAGAGAGAGAGAGAGTTAGAGTTTTTCTAGCATCTTCCATTGGTAAGGGTCACCTGTTGCAAGTGGACACAAAGGTCGTACGAGTTCGCAGGAAGGCTGGTTGAAGAGAGAGTTTGGTCCAACTTGAAATTTGATTGGTAGCCCATCCAAATTCTCAACGAAGAACTGGGGTCCAACCAATTTCCGCATCTTCTCTTGAAGAACACCACATTTTGTGCGTGTCTCTGAGCACGAGTGTCATGTTGAACATTCGCTTACAGTCCACTTGGCACAGAGGCTCTGGATTCTGCGATGTGGCTGATGGGAAATGAGTGTTGGAAGTTCAGCTCAGCCCCCAAGGATGATGACTAGTGGAGTTTGGGCGTACTCCTAACGCGCCAGTAGCTTCGTTCCAGTGGCGCCCCCCTTTTTCAAAAGGTCATCAACAAACTGTTGTTTTCAATGGCCGCATAAATCAGGTGCCCCCACTCCCCATGCATCTCGCAGGTGCGAGCTGAATACAAAAGAATCGGGTCTCAGATTCTTGGCTTCGGGGCTCGTGCTACCCGAAAATTCCCGCTCTCAGGCAGAGGCTGCGGTTGGCGCCGCCGGCGCGCGGCACGTGCGGTGCCCGCTTTGCCGGCAGCCGGTGACGCTGGCGGGCGCTGCCAGCGCCAACATGTTCAGCTAGGCCGGGCAGATTTGGTCGCAATGTTCGGGACCTTTAATGCCGAAATCTTGAGGTTTCCATTTTTGGGGCGGGTCATTCAATTCATAGTGGCCCGCCATGCATAGACACCAAGAAAGTATTGTGACTCATGTTGCTTGTGGTCCATAACTCAATGCTTACAGCCCCCGCCCAACCCCCCCTCCTCTCCCGTGCTGAACAGAGCCATGCTCAGCAACGAAGTACCAAACAAAGTACAGTCTGCTGCCTTCGTGGCGAGAAACGCAACGATGGCTTCCTGAATTGGCCCCAGTCAAGCCAAGTGAACCTCTTTTTTTTTTCCCCCACCTTGGCTTGAACACCCAGGTTTGAGGGGTGCTAGAGGTAGGCAAGCTTAAGCACCTGCAAGATCTTGGCCGGTGGCTGCAAGGAAAGCATGGTGTTAGCGCTGGCTTGATAAACCCTCCCCCCGCAGCATGCCAAACCTCAGATTAAATGGGCTCCGGGGGAGAAGGCGGTCTGCGGGAGAAGGTAGTTGTAGGCGGCCGCTCTGCGGATTGAGGACGCATCCGCAAGTTAGATAAGGCTTATTATAAGGCATCTATTGGGCCGGAGTTGAAATCAAGTGATTTGTGCGGGACAATGGTTCTGACGATCGCGCCATATTTGGAGGTGGTCCCGGAGGCCGTCAGAGTTGGGAATTGTTTAGTATTGGATTCCGAAAGCGCACCATACTAATCAATGGTGTTCATGAATCCAATATCAACATGCTCTTCTGAAGTTGACCGGACCTCCGCTTGCGTCGAAATGTTGGCAGAAGCTGCAAGCAAATAGTGTGGTCTTGAACCAGCCATCATCAGCCATCATTCCTTCAACGCATCGAGTTCGCTTTCTAGCCCAAAGTAGAAGGCTCAGGGAACCGGAGATGCAGGATGCCATAGTCGGGCAGGAGCCAACTGTGCAAGAGCCATGTTGCGGGAATGGCAGCGCCTCGCAGGCACAAGCTGCGCACGCCTGTCAATTCGGCTGGTGGCACAGCCTAACTGAATCGGAAATCCGACGGACAGCTGGATTTCAGTATGACATGTTTTCATCAGATAGCGCCCAAGCCGACAATCGCGCCGGCTGGCCCAAATTAGGTCATCCGACACCAGCTTCGGCATTCGTTTCAGTGCGCGCCCAGTGCAACAATTCCTGTTCAGGCGCTGCCAGTTCGCGATGTGCTATGTAGAAGTGCCTCTTCTTCTTGTTCAGATGAGACTGTGCTATTACGGTAGCTTGTACAGCCGCTGCAGAATGATTCAGGTAAAAGCGCTGCGCAAGGGTTTTCCAAAGCCAGGGTGGGAAGCTTCAGGGTTCAGGTCCTTTTTTTGGCCTGGTTGGTTGAGATGGCTTCTTGCATCATAATCTACTTAGATTCTGGGAGGCATTGAACAACTTTGCGGGGGACGATTCCTGCAGCTCCAGTGACGCATACTTTTTTCATGGGGCCAACTGGCAGGGCTCAAACATGACATTGTGCTGGACTTAAAGTACTACGCTCATGGCAATTGGGGCTGTACCTTGACCCGTTCGTTACCAGTTGAGATGGCCCACTGTGCCCTAACTACTCTCTCGGCACAATGTTGAAAGACCGACATCCCAAAGTCCCAAAGTGACTGTGATAAACGGTTGAACATCTCACTGTTTACCTTGGTGCTTTCTCTTGCTTTACAGAGTACCACAGGACATTGAGTCTCGTTCCTGCTTATCAGGACCCTTATGAGGATTATCCTGAAAATGCTCTTTACAGGATCCTGACAAGGACTTTGACAATAGGATCCTTGCAAGGTTGCAAGCATCCTTGCTTAAGAATTCTTACAAAGCTTCGAAGGATCCCTGCTTGTTCTTGGCTTTGTGACACCACTGGTTGCCAATTTGCCAGGACCTTCAGAAGCGGATTGCCCCGAAGGACACGCGCCTGCGGAAAATTTGTATGTTCGGTCTGGCGTTTGGCACTGCAACGGTGCTTGCCTTGAAGCAAACAAAAGCCTTTTGCGCAGCCCGCACAGGATGTCAGCGTTTGCCGCTTGGTTTGCATAGCTTGAGAGGGCTAAGCACTTAGCAAGTCTTTGGCTACACCTGAAAGTTTCCAAAACTCTCAGACCACCAAACGGTCACTGTCTTTGATTTCCTTCAAAACCCAAGTGTTAGTTGACCCCACCCTCGTGTTGAGGCAGCCCACATTGGCACATAGACACTGGTCAACAGCTTCTCGAAGGACAACAAAAAGAAGCGGGCGATGGCCGCTATGGCCAAGCGCTTGCCTTAGCGCGCTCAGGCGCCTTACAGCTCCAAGGGTTCGGGGTGTCCTAAACTCACGGCCCACTTTTTCAAGGGTCCGTTTGTTTTGGAACCGCCCAATGGATTCATGGTTGAACACGACCTGTGGATGCCCAAGGCGGCGTTGGCTTAACAGGGGCTCGAGGCATCTTCAAAGCGGACAAGGTGACCAGGCAATGGCTATGCAATGGCTTTTATGGGATGCAAGCATACTATACTGCCATCTTTTTTAGGTGCGCAGCGGAGGCTTGCATCCATAGGTGACCCCTCATGAATCTTAAACCGGTGAACCCTGAGGAAACAACCGTTCAGTTGCGGTAATCTGGACGCTCGACCGAGATCTGGCGGGGGCCTCTTCGGTTCAATCTTCGGAGGGCGTGGGGCTCAGCTGTCAACAAACGAAGACATGGCGCTGGTCTCAATTTGGTTCTACTGTGTCCTTGTGGTTACGCGCCCCGCAAGACATGATCTCGCGCTGCAAGCGGTGTGCCGGTGGGGAAAGCCATTTAGAGTCATGATCATGCTGTCATTCATAGATATGGATTGAACAAAATCGCTTCGTTGCTGACGGCGCAAGCGATACCCCACCCCACCCCACCCCTGAGCCCACGCAAAAAAGGTCTGGTCGGCCATCGGGAACCGAATGCTCTGGGTGTTTGGTGAATGCTCAGGGCAACAGTCACAAAACGCAATGGTGTACCGGCGCCATCTATTTTGCACAGGGACATCTGTGGGGGACCTCCATTGGCGTGGCTTGTGCGTGTTGGAATCATTTGTGTGGCAACCAAAGGTTGTGACCCTTGCCATACCATTCTCTTCAAGAGCAGGTGCAGCCAGTGCGCTTGCCGACGTCCTACTTTCCAGTTTTCAGTGTTCACCGCGCCTTCGTCTTCACCGATGAGCCCGTCACTTACCCAACGACTCACAAGCTCACTCCCGTGCCGTTGTCTTCAGGTTTACCTGTTGTTTCTCACCTTCTGCACTTTTCCGGTTGATCTCGTGCCTTGGTCTTTAATCATCAGGCCCTTGCGTAACCAGCTTCCGCAGCCGCTCCTTCTCTTGCCAAGAATAGTAAGCGCACACGCTCAAGCGCAACAGCCAGCGCTGCACACTTTTGCTTTTTCGGCGCCTGAGGAAAGAAACGGCGCGAGCAAATAAAAACGCAGCTCGAGTGGCCATCTTGAGCGACCCCCCCCCTCCCACCCCACCCCTGAATCACGAACCTCCTGTTGGCGGACATGGTCGCATGTTCTGTTGATGTCCAACCATCCTGCGCTCGCAAGAGAGAAGACAAAGTTGCGACCCTTCTGCCGCAAAATGCGTTTGAAAGCTACAGGCAGCTTAAACACACGCAGTTATACGATGGCTTCGCAACACCCCAAAGCCTTGCGCTCGCAAGTGAGTCGATGCATTTTGCGAACCCTCTCAGAGCAAATTGTGGCTTGCATCTAGAACTCGCTATTCATATTGTTTGAACACAAGTCTGCCGGCGTTTAGCACAACAGCCTGAAGTGTTTTGGCCTGCTGCCGCAATTACCCGAGGGTATGGCTTGCCACACATGTCTCGATGGGAAGAGTGTTCGCTGCGTCTGACCATTTGGCGGAAATCGCGGGCTGAATCGCAGCAGCAAGCTTGCGCTACTATAAGGAGCTGGCTTGTGTTTTTCTTATCGGACAAAAATCTGCACCCTTGGCGCACTATGATGGGCATTGGTGGGAAGAAGTGTTCCTACCAGGAAGAGGACTCACCAACACGATCAAGCTTGTTCTGGAGGGTAGCCAGAAGGCGGTTGCAGGTGGATGAAGAAACTAAGAAACCTGTTTGAGGTAACTCCCATCCGAAGCGATTCTGGCAAAAAGAAAGGCCGCAAGATGAGAGCGACGGTTTGGGAAATTTGCGCTTGCTCATGACTGCATTGCTGCAGGGATGGTCCCGAAGAACTTCTGGAACGCAGCGATTTGCAGGCTTGTTGGGTTTGTTGCTTCGGTCTCTGACTATGGGTGGAGACCTGTTACTGGAAAGCCTTTTGCAAGCCAAGGGTGCCCCTTGATGAACTCAGATTGCGCAAGATTGCATATTTCCTGTTGGCTTGTTTTCGCGCTTTATATGAATTTCGCTTTATGTGTTTGGTGGCTTGCCTTTTGCTTGTTTTGTCTCTTGCCTTTCTGTTTGTCTGCTTGTTTGTTGGTTGTTTGTTTGGTTGTTTTGGTTGGTTGGTTGGTTGTTTGGTTATTTTGGTTGCTTGGTTGCTTGCTTGCTTGCTTGCTTGCTTGCTTGCTTGCTTGCTTGCTTGCTTGCTTGCTTGCTTGCTTGCTTGCTTGCTTGCTTGCTTGCTTGCTTGCTTGCTTGCTTGCTTGCTTGCTTGCTTGCTTGCTTGCTTGCTTGCTTGCTTGCTTGCTTGCTTGCTTGCTTGCTTGCTTGCTTGCTTTATGTGTTTGCTGTTTGTTGGTTGGTTGGTTTGTTCGCTCGCTTGGTTGTGTGTGTGCTGCTTGCTTGCTTGCCTCGCCCACCTTGCCTTCCGTGGCTGCCTCGCTTGCATTGTTGCCCTGCTTGCCTTGCCTGCCTTGCCTTGCCTTGCTTGCGTTTCCCTTGCCTTACTTTTCTTGTTTGCCTTGCTTGCCTTGCTTGCTTTGCTTGCCTTGCTTGCTTTGCTTGCTTTGCTTGGCCTTGCTTGGCTTGGCTGCTCTTGGCTTGCTTGACT